AAGGCTGGCGAACAAGAAGCTGGCTTCAGCTCCGTGATTACATTGCCCTCTAAGCGCAGGTTGCAGATACACAGCTGCGGTGTCTACAACCGAGACGTGACCGTGCCGTATCTGACTTTACATCAGTCTGTGGCTTCTTTAGTGAAGCAGCGGACAGACTTTTTTCACGCACTGAAAAAAGTGACGCAATGGACGCGCTTGAAATGTGCACACCATTTCTACAAAACTGTAAAACTGTATTGATGTTGTATAGTGGTTGGGGCAGTATGCAAAAGTCTGAGAACCCGTCATTAAAGGGTGTGTTAATTTCATTCACTCATTCAACATTAAAGGGGAGTTACACTGATCTTTCGAAGTTGCAACATAATTAGATCGTTAAGATGTAAACGAAGTCATTCAGAGTGGTTCCCTGAGAACTGCTTCATTCTAGAGAAACTTGTGAGAAGAGTTCACAGTTGTAGTGATGGGAACAGACGTCACTAAAAGCTCCCTCACAGATTTTTTTACATGAAATGAATGAATTACATGAATCGTTATGAATATGATACCTGAAGCCTGAGACATTGTTTTGTGATTGTAGTAGTTGAGATTAACTTTTGGCCTAAAATGTCTTTTTTCAAATCAATTAATGATGGAGAGGTACAACATTATATATAGACGTCACAGTATTATTATTACTCATTTCTGAATTGAATTTATTGTGGGAATTTATTTTAAAAGATCTGACACGTTTACATTCATGTTCAACCACCTGGCATGTTTGAAGGCAAAGCACCATGTTTTCAGTGTACACTATGTGCGTGCGTGGGGGCTTCCTTTGTTTTTGAAACAACGTCTTTAATAAACACTGAAAAGTGATGAAAAGTGACATAAACAACATGTTTTTAAGAAACAAAATTTTTCTTTATTTAATTGACAATGTGAAGTTTATTTTCTTCATATAGTGTCGTAATATTCTCAAAAAATAAATGAAGTGAACCTAAAATCTTTTGAATAGTTTAAATCTGAATTGCTTTATCTTGTTAGTACAATCATGTCTCAGATCACACTAAGCACGAATAATCATGTATCGTTTAAAAGACATATTTTTCCCATAATCTTTGATTTAAGTGCTCCAGCTCTAAAATGTTTTCGTATATTTGATTACATCACCGTGCACCAGCGGGCAGGGAAAATAATATTAACCAATGATATAATGTTTCACCTCAACCCTCCCACCACCCCTCCCTATCATCAAAGGTGTTCAGCTAGCTCAGAAACCCCGATAATGCATTTCTCTCAGAAATATTTACACCTCAAAGGGAAGATATGTTATGATTTCCTACTCGCTCTGACATTAAACTGAATATCTGAAGTCAAGGATGTGGTCAAATCTGCATCCCCACAGCACAAAGCAAGCGCATACACATTTGCATATCATTACTAAGGTTTGTGTGCCTTTTTATACAATCATGTACAAAACTTTGAACACCCCAGTGAAGTGACATGTTTACCGAGAATAAGTTAACACATCCTCCACAGGGAGCAAACTTTAGTGCACAATTTCTGTTTATTTTTTAACATGAGAACCAAAAATATGTCGCTGCTGTTGGGATAAAACCTCATATTTGCATTTTTAATTTTTTGACATAATTTGAAAAGGCCAGTTGCCCTTTATGATGTGTCAAAATTTCATGATAAACAGACCAAAAGAAATGGTCCAAAATGACTTGGAAAAAAGTGATTTATCCATTTACTTCCATTAAAAGTTAAGAACGTTTTTCCTCGTCCTGTAAAGTTACCGTTTTGGAGATATGAGATTTTGTTTCGACAGCAGCGATATAAAATGTGCCATGCCCTTTGCCAGGCCACATTTTTTTTATTTTTCCTATGTGTTAAATTTAGTGAATAAACAGTAATTGTGCATTAAAATAGGCAGAACTGTGTTCACAAGTAGTGTTAACTATTAAAAGCCCAAACTTTTGCATATGACTGTATGATGTCAGTGCTTTCATAAATATATGCAAATATTTATGTAGTCTCACTTTCATGGACTTACAAGATAACAAGCAACTTGTTTACCACAGGTTCATATTGGTTTCCACCTATATACACAATATGTCCAAAAGTATCTGGACACCTCTTCTTAGGCGTTAGGTCTTAAATTAGTGAATTTAAGGTCACCTACTGCTGACACAGGTGGACAGTTGCACACACACAGCTTGTATAGTATCTTGTATCTTCATAGTAAAGCATTTCCAATAGAATATGTCAGAATATGAGGCCCCACACGAAGAACTGTGTTCTCTTGAGTGATGGAGCTCCATCCAGTACCTCTGAGATGAGTCAGAGTGACCCAGAACTAATCATCCTACATCAGTACCTGACCTCACTTATGCTCTTGTGCCTGAATGCAGTCAGATCCTCACGGCAATGTTCCAACATCAGAGGGAGAAAAAACACACCTAATACCCTTGAGCAGGTGTCCATAAACCTTTGGACTCTTCCGAGCTCTGTTCCTTTCTTTCTTTTTGTCTGTCTTTCATTCTTTCTTTCGAGAGGCAGACATTCGAGTTTCAACTTGACTTTATGAGTATGTGAGAGGGAGGGGGAGCGAGCACGAGGTCTCGGGATTTACTGTTTATGTTGTATTAATAAAAAGTTTCCCCTATTTTTCCACTTCCCTAATGAATTGTGCATTTGACCTTTGGCGAGCGCGCGAGAGAGCGGCAAACATTCAAAACACAGGCCTTCTAAAGTTTGGCTGGCTCTCCAGCATTGTGTAGTTTACTACTGTTTCGCTCTGCTGCCGTTGCGGTGCTCAGGAAGACCCCTCCCCTGTGCGTGGAGCTGCCATTGTGCGGGCCGGCTGGGTGGATGCGGCCCGACGTACGGCCGTGACTAGCGCCGACTATTTTTGGCAGGGAGGTAAATAATAATAGTGAAAGGGAGCAGAGGCAGCAAAGTAAAGTGGAACAATGCATCTCACGTCAGACATGCTTGCTTGCCTGCATGCGTGCAGATGAAGTTCTTATGAAACATATTGACCTTGTTTGTGTGCCTGATTTAGGAATGTTTGTCTTGGTTACTGGCACTTATTGATTGATGGTTCGGTGGGGTTTGTGTTGTCTTTGGATGTGCTATCTTGTTTGCGCAACAGAATTCCTCTGTTACGAGCACTTAGTTGTCATCAAGACGGGCCTACAGTAATTAATGTAGGAAGATGTCGCCTCATGGAGGAGAAGTCAGCGTTGACATTTTGGCTTCAGGGCAATGAGCATGGTGGAGTTATGGTCTTACCTCATTCGGTTTCAGAACAACTCATGAGTGGTTGCCATTTGGTGTCCTCTTGATCTTGCCCATACAGAAATCTGACATATCGCTGCTGTCGGAACAAAACCTTTCATCTCCATTTTTGTCGTTTTTCAGTTTTTCAGTTTGACATAATTTTAAAATGTCTATTTCCCTTGATGTATTGACCAAAAGAAATGGCCCAAATTACTTAGAAAAAAATTCTGGTTCCATTGACTTACATTAAAAGTAAGACATGTTTTTTCCTTCTCCTGTAAAGTTACCAATTTGGAGACACAGGGTTTTGTTCCAACAACAGCGAATATGTCAATATATGGAGTTAATATATGACATATATTGTCATGTATGTATTTCCTTTATATCCAGCTTATATTAATCACATATGGACATATATGCCAACTTATTTGAAATTGGACATTTTCAAATATGCGACATATGACTTTTGTCAACATATACAAAATGTGTAGCACATATATTTAATAATATATGATAGAAAATATTATTCATACATGGATGGCATATATTGTTCATATATGCTAGCTTCATGTTATGCAATATAATATGCTTCTTTGTTTCTTCCAAACTTCCTAACGAAGTGAAAATTAGTCTAATGGCTACATAACTAAACTCTAAATACATGCACATTGTAAGCTGTGCAGTAAAAACATGAAAGAAAAATCAAAAAATACATGAAAATTGTTTTTCTTGACACATTTAAATGATTTAATATTTCAAAGCAAACAGATAATATAGTAACAGTTATAATGGTGCTGGGATGTATTGACCCACCTATCAGATGTATATGTATGATCTCTATGTCCAGTATTTTATACTTACATATATGTATGTATATTTTGAAATATATGCCTGGCTCTATATGATATATGTGCAAATATGGCCATATATCAGATTTACATATGGGTGGATAGTAACAGCGTTACATAATCAGAATACAAAAAAAAGGTAACCATAAAAAAAGGCAGTGATCAGATTACAGGTATATTATAAAAATATTGATTACTTGTTACTACTAGCAGGATTATATTACCACTCATACACCAAAAGTGATTTTTCTGCAGGCAGTTCATCTCAGGTTTGAGTTTTGCAAACTTCTACAGCAGGACTACATCTAATTTTGAACCTATTGTTGCCCTAAGCAAGTTTTTCAGTCAGCAGTTCTAACAATGGAAGAACTAAAGAAACTGGAATTAGCTAGAAATTAACAGAATACATTTCAGCAAACAAGGTGTGCTGTGAAGTGCTTTACAGACTGACTGAATCAAAATAACATTCAGGTTAACCCCTTAAATGGCCACGGCCCAAAGTTTTATTACACACTTCGATCACCTAAGAATAGCTTAGTTGGTTTGCACCGAAGTCCCTGTACTTACTGAATTATAAGCCTTAGTACATAATAAGCCTGGGATTTTAAGAGGTTAATCTGGCAAATATTGAAAAGGCTGAGCTGAACTTTGTCGCTTTAGTTATGATGCAAAATGCTGTTAATTTTTTGGCAGAAGAAATTGGCGGAATTAAAGCACATATGATACAGTGTTTGGGGCTTTTTTGCTTTACTTTTTTTCGGGACTGTTGTATAAAATCAGTAGAGCACTCAGCTGTGATGATGTACGGTGCTTACCATTGGCTTCACCAAATCACAGTGATAATGTTTGCTGACGTCTGACTCTTGTATCTTTGTGTGTTTACAGGATGCTAACATGTAACTGGCAGTGATGATCAAGAGCGCATGAGTGTCTGGAGCCTCTGGAGAGACTAGTTGGCTTCATCAGGAATCAAGTGCCCCCTCTGCCTCAACCTGGAGCACACTTTCATATCTGGGTGGATTCTGCATTAGCGAGTAATGAGGAGGCAGCAGACATCTCCTGTTCAAGCTTGTTCAAAGTAATGAGACACAGCTGTCTTGCTGCGACATGCCCACAATGACTTCCTGAGTCTTCCTAGTAGTGCTAGAGACTGCAAGAGGCTGTCCTCTGTGAGTTGTGGACAGGTTCATTTGTAACAGAGGCATGACCTCTCCTTTGTACCTTGTGCACATGTATCAGTCAACTAGTTCCTCCGCAGCAACTCACCAGTCAACCCACAGTAAGAGAGAGGGGTAGCCGGGGTAGAGAAGAGAGACCTAAAGGAAGTCTGAGGGATTGTCTTGAGTGGACAAGTGCACCATGCAGTCGGACGACCTTTTCATCCGCAAGTTTCGCCGGCAAAGCCCGCGCCCAAACCTGGCCGCCGTGAGCTTCGACCCCAGGCGGGAAAATGGAGTGCGGGCACAAGGGGTGGCCGAGTGGCCGCCCAGGAGGGAGGGTGAGGGGACAGAGGGCGAGAGCGTGATGCCCAGCAGGGTTGGGCTCAACCTGCGTTCAGTTGGGAGGGGACACATCATGCAGCGCAGCAATAGCGACGTAACCCTGGGGGACCTAGACTCTGCGGGAAAGGTCGGGGTGAAAGTTGCCCGGACTGTGGGTGAGAACACAGGACCGGGAGGTCAGGGGGAACCTGGTGTGGTCCTCCATCGAGAATATGGGAGTCTCTCATCTCTGGAGAGGCAGAGTCGACCTGTCGAGCCATGTTCAGAGGACCAGGGAGTCCTCAGTCCCAGCGCTATGCGCTTCAAGGATCCCTTCCTCTTACTTGGCCTCCAGGAGACCCCACCTGAGCCAGACGGCTTTTTCCGAGCCCTGTCCGCACCTGCTGGGGATACTCCAAAACCAGCCAAACCCCCGAAGCCTGAGTCACTAGGGAAGAAGGCAAAGCCATCTTCTCCTCAGATTTTTCCTGAACAGCCAGTTGGTGGAGGTTGGGTGCGCAACTTCGCCCATTATGACGTGCAGAGCATCCTGTTCGACTTGACCGAGGCGGCTACCAACAGGGACAGTGTGGGCCGCAAGAAGAACATTACCTCTGGGGCCTCGGCCGCCTCACAGCTCCGCCCCCTGTCACAAACCGCGCCCTCTTCTCCTTCCCTGGGTGGAGGAGGAGGGGGTGGAACAGCAGGTGGCTCCAGCGTTGAGGAGCCTGAGCAGGCCCTGCTGGATGAAGGGGATGGCAATGACAACGACCTATTGCTCAGCTGCCCACATTTCCGCAACGAGATGGGTGGAGAGGAAAGGGCCGGGCTAGGCATGGCCCGAGGTGCCGGCGGCCGCTGGAGGAGTCTGCAGAGTCCCAACGACGCCGTGTCTGTGCTAGAGGAGCCTCGAGAGAGCCATATCCAGCAACAGGGAAAGAGCAACTACTTCATAGAGCATGCGGACCTGGGTGCCCGCTACTACCACAAATACTTCTACATGAAAGGTGAGTAGACATTCTCAGAAGATAACTTGTGTAGAGAGTTTGGCTACATTCACTAAGGCAGCACAATAAGTCATTTGAAAATTTATATTGCGACAATTTTACTATAACCAAAATCACATATAAAACTCAGAAGACAAGTGTAAGGCCGTTGGCGGTTTTGGATTGTATATCAGTTTTGTGGATATTTATTATATATGTGCTATAGACATTGCAACTCCTGCTTCCTGTCACCTCCACTGTAAAGAAATCTGGTTAAGTTTCTTTTCAGTGAACACTTTCACATCAAACCCTCGTGAATGACTTACATCTTAGTGAAGAGACGTACATTGAATCAGCAGATTTCAGCACTGTTTATTTCTTCCTGTGAGGAAGTTGAGTGTTTGAGTAGTTTATGCATGATAGCTTACTTTTAGATCTTACGTGAACAGCCTCAATTAAAAACAGTTCATTTAAAGCTTAATAACTTTCAAAGAAAATCTGTCAGGTCAGTATCAGTATCGGAAAAGGAAAAATGGTATTGTTTTATTTCTAGTTCAGGTGAATAAACACATTCAAGCACATCCAAATGTGAAGAATGTTTGTGACAATAGTACTGACTTATCTTTGGTCATATGACAGTGGAATATTGCTAATTGTGTAAATATCATCGCAGTGTCACATATTTTTTTGTCCGTAACATTAACATCGCAATTCTCAGCAGAGAATTGCTTAAAGGGGCTCATATCAACACACACACGTTATCTAAGCCAGTTATCCTTCTGGGTCATGGGGGTGCTGGAGCCGATCCCAGCGGCCATTGGGTGGGAGGCAGGAAACACCCTGGACAGGTCGCCAGTCAATCACAGGGCACCCATTCACTCTGAAGTAATTAGGTGTTTCAGCCTGGACTGCTTTTTGAATAAGGTCCAATACAAGGCCTTACAGCCAATCAGAACAGAGCTCAGAGCTTTACTTATAACAATCTTAAAACCATAGTAACAAAAGCAGCCTGTTTAATTTTAAGGGATAAATCAAGGTCAGGAAACGGTCATGTAAAAATTAATTATGTCTGTTTTTCACACATAAAACTGCATAAACATTATAAATGAACCTCTGGAAAAAACACAGGCTAGATTTGAGTGAAATTTCACACTGATATCTGATGATACATTCATTAGGAAGGCACAGTGATATCGGAAACATATCAGTATCGGCAGACATTTCCTTTAAAAAAAAAAAATTGGTATCGGACGGTTTGGATTTGACTGATATTTCTGACTGACATTTGTTGATGTATTTATTTTACTCCAGGCTACTGGGCTACTATGCAAATATATCTGTGTTTTATTCCTTAATTTATTATTAATTTTATTGTATTTGTAATATATATTTCTCTGTAGTGGTAATCCAGCTGGATCTATTCACAATTTCTGCACCTTTTAAATGTTTGTGTATCTGCATTCGTACCAGCGTTGGCAGATATGTACATGAAAAATTATTGGGAAAAAAATCCTTAATTATTTCTCAATCTAGATTCGTCACTCTAGCATTACTGCCTTTACGGTTCATATTTGTGTTTATAAGTGACCCATAACTGTCATTAGTGTGAACACACCTCTGCCCTGAAAGGACTTATGTACAAATACTTTTGGAACATGTTAGCTACTGCGGAAATGCTGAATGATGACCAGATTGATCTGCGCTTGCTCAGTGAAGTGAAAAACACATGAATTCTGACCTGACCAGTCTTATTACAGTGGAGTCATAAGTATCAAATACAAAAGTGTCTCAAATCTGATTTCTGATGTTCACACCGCTCAGATCTATTTGATATTTCACTCAGATTCAAAGTCTGATTTCTGCCAGAAAATAAAAGCTTAAAAAGGCAAAGGAGTTTTTCTAGCTTTTCACTTTGTTTCAAACGTGGAGTTAGGATTTTTTTCAAACCTGACTTTCGTTGATGATTGTCATGGCACAGATATTTAGAATCACCCACTCCCATGCACAAACACACACACACACATACATACACACTACTATTTCAGCGGTCATTGGGCGGAAGGCAGGAAACATCTCAGAGCAGACACACAGACATATACATTCACACACACACACTCACACCTAGGGACAGTTTAGCATCTCCAGTTGGCCTGACTGCATGTCTTTGAAATGTGTGAGGAAACCCATACAGACACAGGGAGAACATGCAAACTCCACACAGAAAGGACCCTGGTCGCCCGGCCGGGGAACTGAACTCAGGCGTCATTAGAATCATTGAGGTATTAATAATATTTGCAGTCAAGGACCCTATTAACAAGAACTGAGCACAGTACATTCTGATGCCTCCAGACGAGTTAAAAAAGTAAGTAAACATATTATCAACTCCTAAACTGCCAAGAAACAACCCTGTTGTCAGTCATATTTCAGTTTTGCATGCTCAATAAGTGAAAACAGCTACAGGCATTGTGCAAGTTAACATCATAAAGGCAGCATTTTTAAAAAAGCTGTGTTTTCCCCTTCCACACAAAAATACCGAAAAATGAAGTTTTCAGAAATCTTCACCCTGGAGAGCTTTTTCAGTGACACATTTGGAGGGGAGGATGAGATGAAACTAGAAGATGCCCGTTTAGACTGCGTGTGTGTGCATGTGTCATACAATTTGATAGACAGAGGCAGTAAGATTTAAATGTGCTCGGGTGTGTGTAAATGCCTTTTTGTGGCAGACATGTTTTCCTCTCTGTACTTCCCCTTCTCTATCTGTGGGTGCGTGTTGACTCTGTCTGGTTGCTGCTCTTAGATTCGCTGAACGCTATCTGTCATCTCAAAATGGGGATGCTGAGAGGGTGTGAAAGTGGGACAGCATGCGCTGAGAAGTCTACTTTGATTCGAGTGTGTGAGTGTACGTGTGTGAGTTTGTTTGTGACGCACTGCTTTTGCAGCTCCGTCACAAATATTTGTCAGCAACACTGAGTGTTTTTATAGCTTTTCTTCTTCCTTCTCTCTCTCGCTCTAAGTCAGTGTCGGTGTCTTTTTGATTGACTGAATGATATGAATAAGTGTTTACCGCTGTACTACGATCATACGATGTACAAATATCATTCAGTGTCTTTTTGATTGACTGAATGATATGAATAAGTGTTTACCGCTGTACTACGATCATACTATGTACAAATATCATTCAGTGTCTTTTTGATTGACTGAATGATATGAATAAGTGTTTACCGCTGTACTACGATCATACTATGTACAAATATCATTCAGTGTCTTTTTGATTGACTGAATGATATGAATAAGTGTTTACCGCTGTACTACTATCACACTAGTTCCTACAGCTGTGAAGTACTATTATACAACATTGCAGCTGTGTACTACTGCCATAGTACTTACTACAGCAACGTGTGACTGTCGGACTTATTACAGCTGTGTACTGCCATCATACTGCATACTGGAACTCAGTAAAACTACTATACTAATCATGACAACTGAGTAATCATAATATTGATATGACTCGGTGATATGAAAAGGTGAGTATTACCACTGTAATGCTATCATACTGCAAATTGCAGTCGTGTGCTATTATCATACTGCTTAGTACAGCTATGTACTAATACCATACTAAGTGCAGATGTGGAGCACTATTACGCTACATATTACAGCTGTGTACTACCATAATGCTTACTACAGCTGTGTACTTCTATCATAGTACCTACTACAGCTGTGTACTGCTATCACTGTTACAGTAGAAGAACTCTTTTTGGTGCTAAATAGAACCATATACTACAAATTCTCCATCAATCTGAAGAACCATTTCGCCATGCGACTACTACTGACACTGTTTTGTACCATTGTGTAGTGCCGTTACACTGCTTAGTACAGCTGTGTACCACTATACAGCTGTGTATTACTATCATACTACCTAATACAGCTGTGTACTACTATCATGCTGCTTATTACAGGTGTATACTACTATCGTACTGCTTACTACAGTATTTTATTACCATCATACTATTTACTACAACTGAGTATCACTATATACAATGCTTACTACAACTGTTCAGTACTTTTATAATTGTTACTACAGCTGTGTAGTTCCATTATAATGCTTACTACAGCTGTGTAGTAGTGTTATAATCCTCACTACACCTGTGTACTACTATTATAAAGATTACTACACCTGTTGTACTGTTATCATCCTCACTACATCTGTGTAGTACTATTGTAATATTTACTACAGCTGTGTACTACTATCATAATCCTCACTACAGCTGTGTAGTACTATTATAATCCTTACTACAGCTGTGTAGTACTATTATAAAGGTTACTACACCTGTTGTACTGTTATCATCCTCACTACATCTGTGTAGTACTATTGTAATATTTACTACAGCTGTGTACTACTATCATAATCCTCACTACAGCTGTGTAGTACTATTATAATCCTTACTACAGCTGTGTAGTACTATTATAATCCTTACTACAGCTGTGTAGTACTATTATAATCCTGACTACAGCTATGTAGCCCTATTATAAAGGTTACTACACCTGTGTAGTACTGTTATAATCCTCACTACAGCTGTGTAATTCTATTAGACTGTTTACCACAGCTGTGTAGTACTGTTATAATCCTCACTACCGCTGTGTAGTACTGTTCTTACTACAGCTGTGTACGACTGTCACACTACATCTGTACTATTGTACTACTAGTACTATTGTAATACTTTCTACAGCGTGTAGTACTATTATCTTCTTACTATAGCACTGTACTACTATCATAATCCTTACTACAGCTGTATAGTACTATTGTGAGTATTACTACAGCTGTGTACTACTGTTATAATGCTTTCTACAGTGTGTAGTACTATTATATTCGTACTACAGCTCTGTACTACTGTCGTAATCCTTACTACAGCTCTGTACTACTGTCGTAATCCTTACTACAGCTCTGTACTACTGTCGTAATCCTTACTACAGCTCTGTACTACTGTCGTAATCCTTACTACAGCTCTGTATTACTGTCATGCTATCTAATACTGCTGTGTACTACTATCATATTGTGTATTACCGTGCGTACATTGCACTGTACTTCTGCAATGCTACCTACTACAGCAGTGTAATACTATCATACTGCTTATTATAGATATGCCTGCTAGTTATTTCCTAGTTATTTATTCCTTATGTTTTTCTTCCTTTTCGTTTGCTTCATCTAACTGATATTGATTGAACTGATATTAAGTGATTCAGAGCACAGCATGCATTACAGCATGCACAGTCTTAGCATTAAATTAATCATTTTAGCTACAGGCTGTTAACCTTATGCTGTATTTTTGTCCTATCATGCAGACCATCAAAACTTCTTTGGCATGGATGAGCGATTGGGGCCAGTGGCCATCAGTTTCCGCCGTGAGGAGAAGGAAGCGTCCAGCGGAGCTCAGTACAACTACAGGATCATATTCAGGACCACAGAGGTGAAAAAGTTAACACTCCACAGCACACACATGCATCCCTACACGCATGTACGTGTGTGAGTATGACTGTATTTGACTGTTTATTTCTCTGTTGACCTTCCTGTGACAGACTTTCTCTCGCTTACTCAAGGCTGTGCTGATGTAATAGCTTCTAAACAGAAGTTAAGCACGGCTGAGTTGTAGAGAATTCACAAATGTTCAGTATGTCGTTCTCTATCACCCTCCATCACTTTTTCTTCCTCTTTCTGCGTGTTTCCTTCCTTCTTCGCCACCCATGTTTTTTCTACTTCTTTTGTAATCTGCTATATCTGTCACGTCATCCTCTCTCCATGTATCTTTACTTGACAAGCTCAGGGTCACCCTAACTAGGGCTCCAAACTGGCTCAAGAATTGAAAAGGTGTTTTTCTAAGAAAAAATCGTAATCATCTTTAACTGTTCAATAAAACAGAAATGCACTTTTGAAATATCTTATGTTGGTAATAATGTTACATAATAATGTTGATTTATTTATTCATTTAAATAATGTATTTAATTTCCAGGCAAAACAGCCATTAAATACAAAGTATTCATTTTTTTCAGCATCAGGAAAAAGGCAGAAAATATATATTTAACAGTTAAATTACATAGAGGCCTCAACAGCTACATTTTTTAGTATTTACTGTGTCTGTTCGTCACTCACTTTCAGTTTTTCCAAGAAATCTGCAGGGATATTTTTCCACACCTCCAAAGTTCAGTCGTAGAAGATTTCTCATAATCCAATTAACCCCAAACACATTCACAGTGAAACTGAAGTCTGGACTCCGCAGTGGTCGGTCCACTGTTCTGAGAAAACCAGGAGCTTCTTTGTTTGATTAGCAAATTTTCTCTTTTTTGCCTATTTTCTTTTCTCAGTAAGAGCTTCTTGGCAGCTACACATCCTTTCAGACTCATAGCGCTGAGTTGTCTTCTCACAGTGGAAGGATGGACAGAAACACCTGTGGGTGTTTTCAGATCTGAAACAGCTTGATTTTCTCCTCTCTCTCAAAGATGAAAGCTTTAAATACAGTTTATCTGATAAGGACGGTTTTGGTGGTCTACCAGGCGTTTCAGGTGGTTGTTAGGGGTCTCATTTTTCTGTAGCTTTTAATAATTTTTGAGCTTCAGTTTTGGAATCTCCTGTTTTACTTATTTTCCTTTGACCTTCACCTACCTTATACAAGCTATGAAAACTACATATAGTCTACATTTAATAGGTGGAACTAACTGGATTTTTATTTTGTTATAACCAATTTGTGCATTTGCACAAACAAAAACATTAAAATATTTTGTTTTAGAGCCTCGTCTCCAACAGCTCTTTCTCTTTTTTACCACCCCTTTATCTTGTATTATCAGCGCCCTATTGCCTGTCTTCCATTCCTCCTTTCCTTTATCACTGCTGAACTCCTCTTCGACTGGAGTAGAATCTCTCTCTTTGCCCCCACATTAGTATTATTATATCTCTCCCTAGGGAGAGTTTACTTCCTACCTCTCTCTCTGTCTCTGTCTGCAGTGCTTTTCATGTATATTTCTTCCTTCTCCTTTCTTGTTATCTGTCTAAAGGCACTACATAGAGAACAATATGAAAATAAAAGACACAAAATTGTGAGGTGTTTGAAATTTTGCACTAAAACTGACCAAACAAAAGACCAAAACAGACAGGCAGAATGGCACTCATTCATCAAAGTTGCGTAAAAAAGAGCACTGATTTGAATGATGAACATCTCTGCACTGATTCATAAAACTATGTGGAGATTTGAGCACAAATTTTGAATAAGCTTCAGTGCACGAAATCAAGCATCAGCCTACCAGCACCTCATTTACATATCATTTACGTGAAGCATGCCCTAATTCATGCAGATGTTTCAGTAGCCAGTGGCTATGTCCACTGCTTCCCCTCCTGACCAAACTTTATAGTCTTGAAATTACAACAACTGGAAAGAATAAAATGTGAAATAATCAAAACGTCAATTTTTTAAGATGCTTGAATAATGCTATTGTCTGTTGTTTTTCCTATAATAACAGATTTAAACACTGTATTATTGCAGTGTATGGGATGCCCCTGCACTAGCTGTGTTTTGTATGGTTTATGTTGTGGGTGGAGTCAGTAATATAAAACAAAAGTAGAGTGTGGTATGTCTTTAAATGGAACATGGAATAGATTCAGCATTTGTTTATAGCAATGTGTATGTAAAATAAGTACATCCACTTTGTTCACTGCAGTTGCCATTGGCACATATTATTATTGTTATTGGTATTATTGATGATATTGATTATATTCTTGATTATATTATATTATATTGATTATATATCTTCCACTCCTCATATTCACTGGGTCTGTTTCCTCTCTTGCCTGTAGCTGAAGACTCTTCGTGGTTCGATCCTGGAGGAGTCAGTGCCATCTGCAGCGCGACACACGACCCCTCGAGGGATCTCTCCAAAGAGACTGCTGGAGTTCATCCTGCCGGATCTTAACCTGCACTGTCTGAGGCTGGCCTCCACCTCGCCCAAAGTCCGCGACACACTGCTCAAACTGGACGAGCAAGGGGTGAGCTCACCGTGCCCAAACCACTTTCACTCAGTAGCGAACTATCACTATTGGAACTAGGCCTTCAGCTTCGGGCCATAATGTCAAAACTTTAGGGGAAAAACCACCTCAATGATAATGTTAACTTCTGTTGTCAGTGCTAAGCTAACTGCCATTCACATAAACACTTTCTGAAGAGGCTAGCTTCTTGTTCAAATTTCCCGTTCCACCTTAAATGCCACAGCAGTGACATTACAGTACCTAAATGCGCAAGAATGTAACTCTACAGCCTTGCAGGTGGAACAGAAAATTTGAAAAAAGTAGTTCTAGATTGAACACAGACTTTCTTACCTTCTTACTGGAAGCTTCTGACAGACATATTAGCTTATAGTTTACTTGATAGCAGTTCCAGTGTGACTCAGTAGTGAGCTCTGGTACAGCTGCCACCACCATGTTTCTAAAAACCCACAGAATAGGCTGCTGCTCGTGTTCACAGTCAGTGATGTATCTAGAACTTCCAGAAGACCTAAGGTGACCTTTTTCTCATGACATTGGTCTCACACATTGGAAATCAAAATGTGATTGATTGATTTCTCTCTGTCACTTCATAATTATGCTGATAATTATGACCTTCTCTGAAGGTTTAGAAGGCCCTGAGGGTTCCCCTCTGCTTTCACTGGTGGTCTCTTAATTGCCGAGGGAGTTTTTAATGGTCTGAGATCCCACTAAAGGGGAATTCCAGCAATTTTTCAATTTTTTCTGCATGATTCAGTGGTTGAGATGTAACAGAGTCACTCAGTCACTCAGTCACTGCATGACGAGAAGCTGGTTAATTAAGTGGGGAAATATCATAAACCAGCTTATATTTATTCACCTTACATCTTTTAGACAGAAACGTTAGGTAGTGAAGAGTTAGGTAGCTAATGTTCAAGCTTTATACCATTAAATCTATATGGTTATGGTGTAAAATGAGAACCTCTGAGCCATCCTGAACTTAAGCTTGAGGTGAGTTTGAACTGAAGCTCACATTTAAAATGTCCATGATTGTTGGGCGACTGTGCTAAAGTGTCTGCATTATATTCATGTAACTGCATTTGTAAGTCTGCAGAAGGAAATGTTATATTTCTCTGTAATGCTAATCCAGGTAGATCTAGTCCGAATGAATAGGCATTGGGATCAGCATCAGCAGATATGTATGTGACACATATCTGATATGAGCATTAGTCCACAGTTCCCATATTGGTGCATCCATATTAATTATGCAGTATGTAATAACATTTGAGTAGTATAGCAAAACCAGTGTGTACAAAATGGGGGATGTTGGGTTCAACAAATGTTTTTCAACAGACTTTTTTAATGCCACAGTGAACTCATTTTAGGTTAGCAACTGCAAATATCTGACAAAAGGCCTGTGTCGTAAAAAACTGAGTTGCCTTTTTTAAACAAAAAGTGTTGATTTATGTAAATCAAACATATGCATGATGTGTAAACACTGTTAAAGTTTCAAAAATTCACTCCCCATTCCATACAGTCCATATATGGAAAGTAAAGCTGCAAAAACAGCCCGTATTTGAATTCATGTCACAAAAAACAAGCTATTTAACATGTATGATATATGCCGGCTACAGCAGTTTAACTCCCCCCGTTGACACTTGCCAGCTTTTTGAATGAGGCACAACACATGGAAGCCAATCAGAACAGCCAATCAGTCATTTACATATTGTCATGGCCCAAAAAAATCTCCATTTTTGGCAATTTTTAGTTTGTTTGCATCATATTGAGCAGCTGTGTGAAAATGTCATGATGATTGGGCCAACAGAAGTGCTCCAAAATTGCTTTGAAAAAAATCTCAGTAACTTACATTGAAAGTAAAGAAAGTTTTTGCTCTCTCCTCTAAAGTTACCATGTTGGAGATACTTATTTTGCTTTGGACGGCGATGATATGTCAGTCTTAAAGGCATAGTAACAAAAACAGCCTTTTAATTCTAAGGGATAAAAAAAGGTGGAGCTGCTGGTGTAAAATTAATTAAGACTGTTATGCTGATACATAAAATCACACAAATGTTATAAATGGATCTCAGAGGAAAAATGAAAGACAAGAAAAATGTATGATATGGGCCTTTTATTGAAATGACTTGTTTTTTTGGTACATTTCATACATTAAAGGCCAAAGGTATGTAAATAAAGGTTTGTGGATGGAATTAGAATATCAATAATACACACTTTAGGTGATAATACATGATAATATTAATTCAAAAAGAATGTAAATGGATGATGGTAGTTATTAAGGGAAATATTTTTGTCTATTTTTTTGACCAGGGCAGGATGGCATCCACTTGCATCCGCCCTCAAATTGAGACCTGAGTAAAACAACAGCAATAATTAATAATAATAGTGATAATAATAGTAATAATGACAATAATAATAATAATAAATGGCTAAAAGAGGTTGGAAGGGGTAGTCTGAGATCTGCTCTTAAGGGTAGTTGCTGTTTGTGCTTAGCTCAGTGGTGACCTTTCAATAGTGTTCAATATTTTATGGTCGCGTAATGTATATGTGGACGCCTTAATAAAAAGCCCTGTAAGTGCTTCATTGTGCTTAACTGATCAGGCTAATGTACTGAGGGAGTAGAAGTTAAGATACTCATGGAGGACCTTGGTATAGAACAGTGTGTGTCTGAATAAGAGAGTGAAGATGGATCAATAGAAATGGTTCAAAACTACTTAGAGAAACTTACAGACTCTGATTTCTTTACAGTGGTGCTGATAGGAACCAGGGGTTGAAATAACTACAACACAAATATAGCTATACTATTTACTATCCAAAATGATCCGTGAACCTACACATGTCTTTATATGTAAAGCTGAAAATGATGAAATTGTGGACATTAAAGAAAAATGCATACTATTTTGCCTTTCAATACCCTGCATGTACCTCTCCACCACAAATGTCTTTTAAAAATATTCCATTTTAGGCCAAAATCTTCTCTCAAAACTATCGCAAAACAGTGTCTCAGGCATTACGCAGCATATTCTTAAGAATTTCATATCATAATTGTCTGTGAAGGAGCTCTTAGAGGCAGTAACACTGTCTGGTTCCTGTCACCACCACTGTGTACAACTGTGACTTGTTAAGTATCCCAGCATCTCACTTTAATGACGCTAAATTGCTTTGTTTGCATCTTAACCACTGAATTATGCAAAAAATGTGCAAAATCTTATTTATTTACTTCTCCTTTACAGTGTTCATTTTAGATATTCAAGGTTTTCTTATGACAGTGATGTTATGCAGCTCCTGATACAGTATTACATTGTATTATCTATAAAACTGTACAGAAATGCACCAGATTCAGACTTCTAGATGCTGCCATACTGTTTTTAGCTCTGCAGCGTACTTTGGGTTCATTTTTATAAGTATCAGTATGCCGTGTACTATCAGAAACAACATAAACAAGTCTACTCAGGGAGGTATAACTGACAAATCCAGCTCATCTGTGTGTGTTTATGTGCAGCTGAATTTCCAGCGGAAAGTGGGAGTGATGTACTGTCGGGCTGGGCAGAGCACGGAGGAGGACATGTATAATAACGAGAGCGCCGGGCCGGCCTTCGACGAGTTCCTGGACCTGCTGGGGGAGAGAGTGCGACTGAAAGGCTGGGAGAAATACAGAGCGCAGCTCGACACCAAGAGTGAGAGAAAACATTTCACACAGACAGCATTACTCACTCACTACTGTGTAGCGCTGCAGTGATCACTGTGGTGGTAGAACACTGCAGCGATGAGCGCATCACCTCCGTAACAACTGTTTTCTGTTTTGTTTTGGGGGTGGGGAACACTTTGAATGTTCCGACTGAGATTCACAGTACGGAGCTTGTGGCAAACAAATGAAACATAGGCCACAGAAGTTCCTGTTTATATTAGACATTAAAATATATTTTAATATATTCAAACCACACGTGATCGGAATGTGTTGGGATCTAGTTGCCCTGTAATCTAAAGCTCTGTTTATGCTCGGTTAGATCATCATCCAATCAAGATACAGCATGTTTACACTTGCTCTGTTCATCTGCATCCAGATATTGATCAGATCACATTTCCCTGGACAGTATTTAAATATTTAAATCAGACTGGTGTGGTCAGAGCAGTCGGCGTGGCCTACACAGGCCATCCTGTGTTTACATTTACGTTATAGCAAATTAAAAGAGTTATGTGCAGTGGTACGCACGATTTATTGATTTTCTAAGTGAAAATAAACCAACAAACCTCTACAGCGAACACATATCTGCACATTTTAATGCACAGTTGCTGTTTATTTGCTGAATGAAACACACTGGGAACAAAATAAAACATAAAATGTGGCCTGTGCAAAAGTTATGGCGCATTTTATGTTTGATTTTTTTCTAATATGGTAAACTTAGAAACGAAATGCACTAAAATTTACAGAAAATGCCATATTTAAGTGTGTTACCTGTAGAGGACTTATTTTCACTTGTAACATGTAATTTGACCAATGTTGCGCATACGACTGTGTTTTTGCTAAGCAGACACATCTGAAGCAGAACCGAAAGAAAGATAATCGGTTAAAGTCACACCTTATGTTTGAAATGGCTAAAAATAGCTATTTCATTTCCAGTCAAAACGGAGAGAGATATTTCCGAGGAGATTAGATATTAGATAGTCCATTTGCATAAAGAAGGTGAAAGTCAAAGGAAAATAAGTACAGAAGGTTTCAGTACTGAAGTTCGAAACTTGAAGAAAAGATGTAGAGAAAATGACAACCACCCACAAGACCTGGTAGACCACCAGAACTGTCCCCATTAGATAAACAGCGTTTAAAGCTTTCATCTTTGAGGGAGAGGAGAAAATCAAGCTGCTGCAGATCTGAAAAAATCCACAGCCATCCTCCCACTGTGAGAAGACAACTCAGCGCTATGGGTCTGAAAGGATGTATAGCTGTCGAGAAGCCTCACTGAGATAAGGAAACAGACACATCAAACAGAGAAGCTCAGTAAGATAGCCTTACCACCCCAGAGTCCAGATCTCAACATCACTAAATGTGTTTGGGTTTAATTTGATCACGAGAAGCAGAAAATGCAACCAACTTCTAAGACTGAACTTTGGAGGTCTGGAAAAATATCTCTGCAGATTTCGTCAGAAAACTGAAAGCAAAACTCTAGAAAAGGATGAAAGCTGTAGTAACGACAAAGCGTGCACACACTAATATTGGAACAATTAGATAATATGCGTAGTTTTTGAGGCTTCTGTGTTATTTCCTGTTAAATATTTAGTTTCTGTTTTTTTTCCTTCAACTGAAAATGTATAATTTGTGCTTAATGGCCATTTTGACTGAAAGTTAAATGAATAAAGGACAGTCTCTGACCTCTGCACAGTACTCTATGTCATGCTATGCATGGTGCATAACATAAAGTACAGATATCTTACGTGTAGCTTGTAAGCATTTGAGATGTTTTACAATTATACAAAGATGAAATGTGCTCTGAGTCAGTAGAGTGTATGACTAACGTGCATGTGTCTGTGTGTCTACAGCGGATTCCACGGGGACACACTCCCTGTACACGCGCTATCAAGACTATGAGATCATGTTCCACGTTTCCACCATGCTCCCCTACACAGCCAACAACAGACAACAGGTAAACAGCAGCTAATTAAGCAACAAAAAAGCAACGTACCACTGCTCAACAGTACACAGCAGATGAACAGTAACAAGCTGATAATCATCATAATACGTGCTAACAGGCTATAAGATTGAACAGATGATTAGGACTGGTATCTTCTTCAGCCTCATCAAGAATGTCTATTTAATGGCATCAGAAATCAGATAGCATTTTAGAAGGCAGTGACATTGACCTGGTCTGTGCTGAAAGGACAACAGCATCATTAGTAGTAGTTTTTGGCTGCACACCAAAAAGGGAGATAAACTCTTAAACAGAGATAAACAGATAAACAGTTGCTTCAGGGTGGCCCTTTGACCCGAAATCCCTTTGAAGTAGTTTCATGGTGTAATGTTTTATGCTTTTAAGGAGAGATGCAGAAGAATCAGTCAAGTAAATTCTGTTTTACAGTAACCTTTCAAACTGCAGGTGTATTGGGAAGTTAGTAATAAGACTGTTACAGATCTCAGCTTAGTATCGAACAATCAACAAAATAAAAATAAATTGGGCAGGGAGGAGGAGGGGCTTATGCTGTGTTCTCACACTCAAATGACTGGGTTTTCAGTATTGAGATTGCAGTATTTTGGGGCTTATTGTGTTTAGGGCTAGCATGACCAAACCAATCTATGTATATATTTAAAGCTCTGTATATCAAGACACATAACCCAAATCTTGGATCCCTGGTGATGCCACAGCCATCCGTATCTGGGATCCCAAGGCAGCATAATTGCTCTCACTCTCTCTGGGTGGTTAGGATGGTCCTCCCTCTTCCCCATGACTCATCGTAATGCTAGCCAACATAGGAGTGTGATAGCTGATATAACAGAATCAGTGGTTAGCAGTCTCCTCCAAGCGTGTTGACCAGTCCAATGATGTTACGTTAGCAGCAGTTGGAGTAGATGTGGTGGCAATTCACGTGTCTCAGAGGAAGCATATGCTGGCCATTACCCTGCCAGCTTGGTAGCATTGTGTGAGAAGGTGAGATCGAGTCTCATGATCTTGTTCCGAGAATACACATCTGGGGTCAACCTCTTAAACCTTTGGTGCTGGATTGTGGTGAAAGGGTACGTAAGGGTAGCAAGGGTACATCCCCTTCTATACCCACCCCAAATACCTTGTGCTTGCTCTTTTAATATCTGGAGTACAATCAATAACACAAGCGTAGCAAGCTAGCTAGCTCACATTGATTCTTTAAAACAAATGTTTCACAAATGCCCTTTAGTTTTTTCCAGATCTATTCAATGAAGCCATTCAAATACTTTGTTTGGACAATTAAGAGAATAGAGGTGTGGCTTTTTGGCCAATAGGATGTCGTATTAAGGTTTAGTTTACCAAGTCTGGCCAGCTGTTTACAACTTGATGTTTAAAAACACAACAGTGGTCTTGGTTATATGTTCATTACTGTCCATAATATGGGAGCAAGGTTGTTTTTTTCCAGCTGTGTGCTCAGGTCACAGCACAGAAATGGAAAAGAAAGCAGCTTCAGACAGACTTATTCTGTCAGTGACTTTTTGGAATAACTGTGGACGAAGTTCATAGCATTGCTCAGTGATGAATACATGTATTTATGTATTTTTAATGTTATTGTTTCTTGTTGTGGGTAACAGACATCCTTTTCGCACGATTTTTGGTGGGCATGACTGCACATTGTTTAGCTCAAGTACAAATCCGAAAGCTAGTTTCTTCTCGACCATAGCTGCCAGTTCTTTCCACATTGCTTTTACTCTGGCTGTGTTGTTGCAGCTGTGAATGAAAGGCCACGTACAGGTACTGGTACCCCATTGTCAACTTCTATTGCTTGAGCAGTGATATCTTCTAAAGCTAATGTATTTTCTGTCTTAACTGAATGTTTTTCTCTGGTTCTCTGCGCTCACAATGGACATCTACATGCCTAATTGAAGTTTTTTGGGGAACTTTTATGCGATGATAACCTACATTACAATCATAGGGCTAACGACAGACGTGTTCTTCATCAGACAGTGTTGACGATCGCCCTCTACTTTAAGCTCCACCTTCAGGAGGCATTGGACTAATTTAGAAATTTCACACTCATTTTGTTCCCACCCTAATAAATCTACATTCCCACCCACATTTAGAGCAAAATTTCTCATGGTTGTCCCCAGACAAGTGTTCTCAGTATGAGATCACGTATGGCTTTATGGGAGACTAAGTTAGCAGGTGGAAATCGGCCATAATTATGATATAAAAAGTAAAAACTGAGTTGAATCCTGACCTCAGAATTGAAAGTTGTATCATACCTGCATATACAGTCGTATAGAAACGTTTACTTGCTTTGTTGTTTTTCTAAGTGCAAATATGTTAACACATCCTCTACAGAGAACACACTGCATTAACATATGTTCACTGGAAAATTGACAAAACTCGCCATTTGACTAGGTGTATTCAAACGTTGGCATATGACTGTATATCTTTTATTTTCATACCCCTTTTTTAAATGCTAATATGTAGTTATGTAGTGTGAGGAATTGAACTGTGGACCCATATACAGGTAGTCTGAGGGGTTAACAAACCTCCATCTTTTTGTTTCTCTCACAGCTACTAAGGAAGAGGCACATAGGGAACGACATCGTAACGATAGTCTTCCAGGAGCCCGGCGCGCTGCCGTTCACACCCAAAGCCATCCGTTCCCACTTCCAGCACGTCTTCATCATTGTCCAGGTTCACGAGCCCTGCACGGAAAACACCTATTACAGGTACGAAAGAGCAGATAGTAATGCATACCAGAGCTGTGTAGAGCAGCCTAAAGCTACACACAAGAAGTGTTGTCAATTCACTTAAATAATGACTCAAGTAAAAGTTCTCAAATACTGAGGAACGTACAGAACTGCAGTGGGACTTCTTAGCACATCCATCATGCACTAAGCGTAGAAACTGACGTTTTTAGAGCACTGAACAACTGCATGGATCATAAAAATCACGTATTTAGTAGATTCTTCTTAACTGGGTAGGTTTTTAAGGTTTTGATCTTTTGCTGATGGTCCAAGAGACCATAAGTGGTCAAGCTTTTTTGGGTGTAGTGCTGCGCATGTGAAATAAAGAAAATAAAGAAATAAAGAAGAGAAATATGGATGATGGAATATGGTTTCAGAGGATAAGGAATGTGGAATATGGTTTTGAACAGTGTCACTACTGAGTCATCTGTTCCAACCTCAGAAAAATTAAATATTATGATATATATTGTGTGTTAAAGCATTGTAATGTGATATTATTGGCATTTTGCCCATTCTTACACACTTAAAAACAAGGGTTCTTTAGTAAAGGCAGGGGTTATATACAGAACTATGAACACTGAAATGGTGCTTTGTATGGTTAAATTTTTTCTCATAAAAAAATGAGATAGAGAACCTCTTCTACATGGTTCTTTAACAACCTTTTGAAAGATGGTTTGGTATATTTCCATATTGTTACAAGTAGAGGGCTGATATCAGTGGAAAATGCTTGATCAGATATTGGACCATAAAAGGAATGATTCACAAATCTAGCCTAAAATATCACAGAATTGCTCAAACCACTGCCAAAATACAGCGAATTAAAGTTAGTCATGTTTTAACATCAGTAACCACATCATAGCATCACGTAATAACAGTAAAGGTGGGAAGTAGTGGGCAAGTCGTTTTAGTATGATGTATAAAAACAGTCATATGCAAAAGTTTGAACACCCTGGTCAAATTACATATGAAATAAGTTAACACATCCTGTACAAGAAACAAGCACAAATATTCCTGCAAATTTTAGTGCATAAAATATAAAATGTGCCATAATTTTTGCACAGGGTACATTTTATGTTCATTTTCAATTCCAATATTTTAAGTTCAACAAATAAACAATCACTGGTGCACTAAAATGTGCTGAAGTATGTTCTCTGCAGTGTTCACTTATTTTTTGCTAAGCAAAAATCAACAAAACATGTAATTTGATCAGCACTTGTATATATTATATAAATATTTCATTTTACTGATAGGTAGTTTTTACCGAGTAAATCTGTATCATGATTGGAAAAGAAACAGTGGTATTGGGTCATCTCTATTGATAAATCATACAACATGTTTGGTGCTATATAGACCCCTTTAAGCTAAGAATGTAGGCCTAATGCTCTGCATGCCTGACTCTCTTTCTCTCTCTCTTTGTTAGAGTCGCTGTAACTCGCTCGAAGGACATCCCTCTGTTCGGCCCTCTCTTCCCCAAAGGCGCCCGTTTCCCGCGCTCTCCAGCCTTCCGTGACTTCCTGCTGGCCAAGGCCATCAACGCAGAGAATGCGGCCGAGAAGTCAGAGAAGTTCCGCTCCATGGCCACACGAACGCGGCAGGAGTACCTGAAGGACCTGGCGGAGAATTACGTCACCACCACGCCCATCGACTCTTCCACCAAGTTCCCCCTGCTGTCGCTGGGTGGCAAGCGCAAGGACAAGCTGAAGGGGGCCAAGGGGGCGGAGCTCCATAGCGCAGGGGCCCTGGTCTGGGCTGTCTGCGGCACTCAGGAAAACGGCGGGCCGAAGCTGCCCTGCCTGCTGGGCGTTTCTGCCGAATCAGTGGTGCTGATTGAGCGCTTCACAAAGAGGGTGGTCTTCAACTGCTCCTGCCGTGATGTGATTGGCTGGAAGGCAGTGACTGAGGCGGGGGCTAAGGGCGGTCCTTGCCTAGACATCTTTTACGAGAGGGGGGAGGCAGTGTCCATCACAGTGCTGGACAGTCAGGCGGAGGATATTAAAGAGGTGGTGCAGAGACTTGAGGTGAGAATTAATAGTCATTCGTCAGTGATGGTACTGAAGTTACAGTATGTCATTCCTCAGCTTCATATCTCCTGTCCTGGGGATCTACCAACCTGCAGAGTTTATTTCCAACCCTAATCTAATATACAGGATCCAGTTAACAATGAGCGTCAAAACTCGCCAGGGCAGTCGATCATCGCTACCAGAGCTAGGCACCCCTCAGATAAATTAAACCTACACATTTTCATTATTTTATTCTAGTATGACATGTTCTTTTTTAATTGTATTGACAGTGAGCATTCTAGCCCATCAGAGCAGACCTAATTATATCTGTGAAATAAGAAAAATACATGCCTGTAGTTTTTAGTTTATTTCTGTTTGATGTAATGGCCATGCCTGTTTAAACTCTACAAGTATTGTAATAATACTCTCATTTCATTCTTAAGTATTGTTTGGAAACAAATTGGATAAATTCCTGAACCGTCCAATGGAATATTATCCAGTCAGATTTTTTTTCTCTGTGGTATCTGGGTAGATACAGCCAAGTGAGCTCTCCCATTGTTTAGGGCCTGTTTGACGGCCTAACATGTCAGATTAACTACCAGCATAATTAGGAAGTGACAACAGAATCGGCCAGTCACATTTTAATTTGCAATTTAAAGAGAAAAAACTGCACTCTAGGCCCTTTGGAAATTCTACATACGTCACCTTCTGTGAATATGAGCAGTAGAATGACCAATGTCTTTCATTCAGATGTTAGAAAGAGAAAACTGCGGTGGCAGCTCTGTCAGGGCTCTTTATCGAGTTGCTGTAAAACTACCTAAAGGTAAAATGTAAGTTAATTTGTCTATTACAAGCTTCACATAAAACATGGAATGTCTTTTACAACCTTCAGATATTCATGCTTAATACAGAAATAACTAAAAAATGTTTGTTTTAATAACTCTTAGCCTAGCACTTCCCATAGGGGTGCTACATGAGAATTAACATTGTTTTTTGTTTTCCTTGGTTTTGTGGCCAAAACTGATGGACTATCCTGAACAGTCACGGTTCACCATTGCATATTGATGATGTTTTTTAATTAATTTTTTGTCAGTCAACATGTAATTAGCCCCTTAATGTTATGGTGTGTTGTTCAATTATGCATTTCAAGCACTTAAGCACTAGGGCCCATATGCAAGCCCACACTTAAGTTCTTCACTCTCAAAGGTACATAACTCATGTAACATTATTAGTTTGATAGTGCTTACTAAATAATTTATAGCAGTAACTGAATAACAAGCCTAGGGTTCAAGAGGGTTACGACTGCATGACTAATATTATACCAGTTGATATGATATAAAATGTATACAAAAATTAAAAAAGATGAAGAACCTTTTAAAACCCCAGACTTAGAACATCCAAAGTTTAGAGTAATCACCTAGAAGTTCCTGTCCAAGTTATTTCAAGTTATTCTAAGTTATATTAAGTGAGGAATGAAAGTCTGGGCCTGCCCTTCAGTTACTAACTAATATTAAACTTAAACCTAGGAGTTGATCTAAGACAAACTAGTAACATCTTCATTTTGCTGAACATGAGTCAGCCATAATGTCTGAGCACATGTAGTCTAACAGCCCTGTCCTATGCTGCAGCTGGTGACACGGGGCTGCGAGGCGCGGGAGGTGACCCCTCTGCGGGACAGCGTGGGTCAGCCAGGCTTCCTGATGAGCGAGGAGGGCTTTGTGACGGATCTGCAGCGGTTCTGCTATGCAGAGAGCGACGGGCTGCAGAAGGGGGCGCGTGTGGTACGCCTCTGCGGCCAGCCGCTGGTACACCTCAGCCAAGAGGAGAGGAGCAGGCTGCTGCGCACTGCCCCTAAAATCCACATCACCGTCATCCCACCCGATGAGAACGGCAAACCACGCAGGTAAGAGAGAAATTAGTTGTGTCTAATAACAACTACAACAACAACCATAACTCACGGTAAAATCAGTGTAATGCACAGCCTCAATAGGCGTACTGATTTATATCATGTGTCAACCACGAAACGTGGGTGTGATTTTAGAGATATCTTTTATCCCTCATATAAATAATGCTGCCAAAGTTAGTTAGTTCTGTCATTTCTGTTCATTCATTTCTGTTCACATCCAGTTCAAGGTCCTTCTCCTGACTTTCAAGGCCCTGAATGGTCTAGCGTTCCCATAATTAGCTGACCTCCTTATCCCCTGTACTCCTGCTTGTGCTCTGAGGTCCTCTGATGCGGGCCTCTTGGTGGTCCCTGCCTTTTAATGCTCCACTAATGGGGGCAGATCTTTTAGTGTGATGGCACCTAAACTATCGAACTCTCTTCCTTTTTCTCTCTGCAACTGCTCCACCCTGTCTTCCTTCAGAGTTAACCTCAAAACCTTCCTGTTTTCTCAGCTTTTTCATTCTTTTTCCTCTCTCCCAACTATGGGTTTGTTAAAGGTGCATAGAAATTGAACTTTTTATTGTTATTATTATTATTAGTAGTAGTAGAAGTAGTAGTAGTAGTATTCAAGAAATATTGCTAAGTAAGTGAGCAAATTTACAGGCAAAATTGATTACTGTTATGCTGGACTTCCTATGAAAAAAATGCAGCCAGCATGGCGCTTAGCAAAAACAAGAAAGCAAACTCATATCAGCCGTTTTGAAAGAGCTACACTTGTAATCTATAGCTTTTAGGATACATTTAACATTATTTTGCTTTCTTTTTTAAAGGCTTTAAATGACCTGCATGCCTCACAGAATATCTGTTCATGTATCAACACGTGATCTTAGATCTGCAGATACTGACCTTTCTAAATACCATCTGTAAAGTACAGAAAAGGTGGCAAGATCTCTTATACTTTTAAACTGTGAAAGTCATTACCATCCACAATTAGCCAGTTACATTCTGTTCACACTTTTAAGAAGCGTCTGCAAACAGTCTTTTTAACTGAGCTTTTATTTTACATTATAATGCACACCAATGGCTTTTAAATGCTTAAAATAATGAATCAGGATTGATCGTATTAGTTTGTGTACTTAATCACAATTAATCGCTTTAATTTGGCCCATAGCTATATGGGTGGACAAAGTAAGATTTATCAGGAGGAATTAGTTTACGCATTAACTTTGATACCACTAGTCATTTTACTTTATTTTGTTTAATTTTGTTACTGTTTTTATCGTGTTTTTATTTTCTTTTTTTAAACTTACTTTTTCACTGCAAATCACTTTGAGCTGCTACATGGATGAAAGGTATTTTATGAATAATACGTTAGTATAATTAAATTATTATTCAGTTTACATTCTATATTAACCGATTCATGTCTGCAGTTGGGCTTCATTATTATTAGTGGCGCATTTCACACCACTAGTTATTTTACTTTATTTAATTTTATTGATATTTTTATCTTTTTATTTTATCTTGCATATTTTTGCTTTTATTTTTTAAGCTTTTTCAGTGGAAAGCACTTCAAGCAGCTACATGGATCCATTAAGATTCTGGAATAATAACAAAATAATAGTAATAGTCTGAGCTTCAGACTTTGTCCTCTTTGTTTTTTTATATTTTAAAAAGTGACAAACACGTGGTGAAAAAGTAGAAACTTTTTATCACCTTCAGATCATAATAAAATAATCTCTTCTGCTCAAAAACACACATGTGGTATTGACTCAACTTTAGAATCTGCAATTTTCACCAACTTCTCCACTTTCTCTGCAAATTAAAACGTGCTTTTGTTATTGCCGGTGAAAGCAGTGACTTCTGAGGGTTACAAAGAAAGAACTGTACAGCAATTAGATTGTGGAAGCCCAACATAATTATAATAGAGAAAATTACTTTGTGAAAGAACCATAAATGACAGTGTTAATGACAGTGCAGTGCAAAAGAGAAGCTACTGAAATCATCTTTACTACAGTGTGTCATAATGCAGGAATCAGTGAAGTAACCTCAGAACAATAGAATTTCAGAAGGCGGGAAGGAGAGTGGAAGAGAAAGACTGTGTGCACCTACAGGATGGAGTGATGGATTCCTCTGTGAAAGTGGAAGAGTAGATTTTGGAGGACGGAGACATGATTGATGGCTTTGGGGGGGACCCTGAAGCAACAAAATTGGAGGAGTACAGTTCAGGAAGGAGGGAGAGGCAGATAGAGAGAGAGAGAGATCGAGAGAGAAAGCGAGAGAGAGATGTAGAGGCAGGTGAAGTGAGTGATGGAGTGGATCAGACTTGAGAATAGATAGACGGCTGGATGGATGAGAGAGGAGGAGGGGGTCGGTGCAAGGCGTATTAATTTTGTGGTGGAAGAGTGATTTGGATATGATGACAGATGAGAGAGAGAGAGAGAGAACGAGAGGAAAAGAGAGAAGGGGAGAGAGGGAGGGGGAAGAGAGAAAGAGGGGGAGAGAGAGAGAGAGAAAGAGAGGGTAGAGAGAAAGGGAGAGAGAGAGGAGGGGGGAAGAGAGAAAGAGAGAGGGGAGAAAGAGGGAAAGAGAGAGAGAGAAAGGGAGGAAAAGACAGAGAAGGGGAGAGAGGGAGAGAGGGGTAAAGAGAGAATGAGAGAGAGAAAGAGAGAGGGGAGAGAGAAAGGGAGGAAAAGACAGAGAAGGGGAGAGAGGGGGAGGGGGAAAGAGAGAAAGAGAGGGGGAGAGAGAGAAAGGGAGAGAGGGGAAGAGAAAGAAAGAAAGAAAGAAAGAAAGAGGGAGGAAGAGAGAGAGAAACAGAGAGACGTTTTGTTGATTTTATAAGTGAAAATAAATGAACATCCTCTACAGCAAACACACTAAAATATGGCATTTTCAGCTAATTTTAGTGCAGTATCTATTTAAAGTATTGGGGAAGAAATCTCTAAAATAAATAATGTACCATAACTTTTGCACCTCCCACATTTTATTGTAATATGTTAAATAATCAGTAATTATGCATTAAAATGTGTTTTCTGTAGGAGGTGTGTTTATTTTTACTTATTTTTACTTCACCAGAACATGTTATTTAAATTGGGACACCCAAACTTTAGCATACAGGTGTAGTTATTGACATTTGATATTGAATGACACAAGTTTTTGATACATATGAATGTAGTAGTCATCTGGGTGGTCCCATATATATATTGAGTTTCAGTATGCAGCCCTAGTTACAATATTGTGTTCACCACTATTAAAAGGGACACAGCTTTCGCACAAATCGTGGTGCTTTATTTTCCAGCTGTTGTCGGCCACAGCCACGCCGTATGTACACCGCATAGTTTCTCTTTGACAACTCGCGATTTGACTCAGCTCACGTCTCTCCTTCCTCTGCCCACACAAACATATACACACACCCCTTGGGCGGTTCCTAGCCGCGCCCTCTACAATGAGAATCCATAGCAAATGAACCAAGCGCAATAAATATACCGATACAATGCGTTATGTTGCAGTACAGTATGAAATGCTGTATTGTTTCACCCCTAATTACTTGTTGGGTCCATCAGGCTGTTTCTTACTCAGTGAGAGACCAGAAGGAGAATTTCAAATACGTATTATTAGCATGTAGTCATTGCCAGTTCATTGAGACGATCAATTGTAATTTGTACATTTTTTTATTTATTTATAATCGAGTAATCGTTACTGCTCTGACTGTACATTTAGAGTGTTCCGAGAGTGAATGTGCTGAACATGGACGTGACTCTCGGGACAAAAAGTGAGAATCTGGACACCGTGAATGAGTGAGAAATGGATGTGTCGGGGGTGACGAGCAAAAGGATGGACAGATAGAGTGAGAGAGGAAGGAGGGAGAGGTGGGGAGCAGATGGAGGGAAGGACTTGGAGGAGGAGAAAAGAGGCAGGGGTCAGTCCCCATTCTATTGTTAATGCTGTTGTTTAAACCAGCCTTCCACCAGCTGGACAACCACTAATCAATTCTTCTAATGATGCCTAACAGTGTGTACCGAGGCCCACCACACATGGAGAGAGAGAGAGAGAGAGAAAGAGAGACAGAGAGAGGCTGCAGTAAAAGTCTTCCGTTGTTGGGCAGATGGACAGGCCTAATGCAGTCCTCCCGGTGCAGCGTTTGTGAATTACTAAACCTGACGAAACAGTGACAGTCGGGATAAAAATAGCAGCACGCTGCCAGCGGCGCAAGCAAGAGTTTGACTATCCTTCCGAGTAATGCCTCATTAGGGTGGATAAATGTTGAAATATTTGGCAACCTGACTGATTTTGCAAACAGACAAAAACGTCCGTTAGCGTTTGAGTGGCAGTGAACACACACTCTTCCTCTATTACAAACAATACGTCGCCTGTTTTAGCTTGTAAATATAGTTCCTCCTGTCAGTGCCTTTATTTTCACTGACCTTGTTTTCAATATCTTGAATTCGAATTTATTTTGATTTACTTTTTCAACCCCCAACACTACAAAGATCTGTCCAGAAATATCCAGACAGCTACTTTAACGCGCACAGAGAAGCATTCAGTTGCGCGCAGAAAGTTTGTATAATCTCCATAAAAAAGCATTGACAATAGAATGGGATGCTCTGAAGCAGCCAGTTTTCAGTTTTAATGTCATGGTATGAAACCCAATGATAATCATATTGTTAGAATATTTAATCATTCTGATAACCGAGTACATGTACCTTCTTTTTAAAAAAGTCAACACAGAAGTAAATAACCAGCTGCTACAACTTTCCTGCAAAGCACACATCAATATAGGCAAACTATGCAGCATGTTTAGTGACTTGCTAGTCAGGCAGTTTGTTTATTTGTTTATTTATTTATTTATTCATTTAGTTAGTTGATTTGTTTGTGTCGAAACAGAAGATGCTCATTGAAGTTCTATTAATACAATACAAGTGGTGATATTCTTTAGATTTTAACTTGCGTTGTAAACATTTTCAGTAATTCGCAATAAAAAAAGTGATAATTTTGGTCACTGATGATCGTGATAGAAAATTTTCACCCCATACTGCACACTGTGGTATTCTTGCCTTGATTTGACTGGTCTTGTAAGTATTAGGCATTGATATCTGCAAAAAGAAATGCTGTATCTGATATTAGAGAGAAGAAACAAATGAATCTGATCCAATCATGTAACAAATCTGTCCTGAAATAGCGCACACATTGTGTGATGTGATGTTGTTAACTGTGTATTTCATGTGGGGTAGCTAAGTGTAGTTTCAGCATGATAACCTACTTTCAGATGCTCATCTCAAGTCAAGATTCATTTAAGGATAGCTCATTTCATGAAATTTAAAAAAAAAAAATGTAGGGGAGAATATGAAGCTTAATCCACTGTTTCTTGTCTTGGATCCTTCACTGGATTACTGACAACTTCCATTCAATTTTTGTATGGAAATCAATAATTATGGAGCACGTCCATCTGGAACAGATGCTTTTTATAAAGTATGGGAGCCTTTTTTGGAAAATATAGATGTAAACATATTCATATAAAGGATAGACTGATAACACCCATCATGAACGATACTGCACTGCATTATTTGATTGTAATTTCCTAGAAACATAGAGAACACTTTTAGTTTTTTTTGTTTTTGTTTTTCCTTATTTTTCTCTGCGTCAGAATGGCTTTTAAATATTTTATCTAATCTTTGTATGCAGTGTTTCTAATGCCAGTGATGTCTTCTCAATACAATATATGTACTTTACAAAATAACTCATTTTTAAAGCTAATTGGTTATTAAAGAACAAATATCAAATCAATATCACTATTGGACATTAAAGGTTTCAATATCTGTAGAAAAATAGTAATAATATAATTGGAAAAAAGTGGTATCATGCCATCACAAGCCAAACCTCTACCTATTTTGAGAGAATCGGATGGGTTTTGCCAAGAACCACCTACATTCACAGAAAAGGGCCATTTGACTGACATACAAAACAACCAACCACAGATGGTTGTTTTTGACTGAAACTTTTCAGTCCAGCTACTAAATTTTACTAATTTATAGCTTGTTGTGGTCACGCTGCTCAGAGCAAGCAACTGTTTGCTAGCTAGCTAGCATTTAGCTCTATAAACAGATGTTTATTTCTCGTCACATTGATTAAAATCAGTGCACTTTAATACAGACAGTCTGAGTGTAATTGACAAAACCCTGTCCATTGTAACGTGTGTATGTTTTTGTTTACAGGAGTTTCTCCGAGCTCTACCAGAAGTCCATCCAGGATGCGGAGAGCAAGTCCGGCGAGGGGCAGTCGGGCGAGGCCTGGGTGCTGGATGAGCGGGAGGTGCAGGAAGAGCAGCAGGAGCATGAGGAGATTAAGGAGCTGGAAGAGGAGGAGCGGGAGCAGGGAGAGGGGGAGGAGTCAGTCAGCGTAACCAGGCCGGACGGGAGAGAAGCAGAGACGGAGGAGGAGGAGAGTGGGGAGGTGGGACAGGGGGGTTCCACCTGCCTCCTGTCCCCGCCCAGCCTGCCTCTGCTGCGTGCCACCTCTCTACAGGACAGTCCCCTGCCCCAGGGTCTGGAGGTCACCCCCACAGCCCTCATACGCAGCTACTCACTGGAGAGACACCCACCCTACGAGGACATCTTTGACGGGTATGGATGTACACGCACTTCTGCATAGTTCTTCTATTAGTGAAATGATTATAGATCAAAAATAAAGGTGCAAAATGAAACCGAAAAGGTTCTTTGGAGTGATGCTATAGAGCCACTTTTGGTTCTGTACCGACCCTTTCAATGAATGGTTTTTAAAGAACCATTTTTGATCTTGAGATAAAAGATTGGAAGTTTAAACAGGCCTGGGTACGTAATAAAAATTCCAAAAGGTTTTTCCAAGCAAGCTCCTTGGAATCTTTATTTTTAAGGGTGTAGGCTATTCTTAAATCCAGCCAATGCTATTTAAGAATTTAATCAATGCATCATCTTTAATAATCACATTCATTTTGATGTGTTTAGAGCAAGATCTAGCACTCTAACATGATCTTCTCAGTTGATTCTGATCAATGCTCTGGCTGTTCCCTGAAAACCATTCAAAATATATTTGTTACTTATACAGTTTGAAAGAGGACACTGACAAACATTACACTGTCTGATTCAGTCATTATGAAAGTGTAATAATTTACATATGAATGACCTTTTTAAACAAGCAGTCATATGAATAGGAATATACTTCACACTTCAGTCGCCTCCTGTCTCAAATCAATAATAACCGTTTCCATAGTGACGTGAATTGCACTCTGAATGTGTGTGTACTCTCACTCAGAAACTATCACAGTGCATTCAATAGTAAGCCAACATAGGGTTCTTTTATACATAATGATAACACACAGAATCAAATTCCACATTCTGATCAGTTTTACTATGACCGACATAGATATACAGGCTCACCAGCTACTCTGGGGGCAGATGATAATCAGTTAAAGGAGAAGTAATCGGAGTTACATCTAAATAGTACAGCAAATCAACAATAATAACTCTGATAACTTCTAACGACGAGCCCAGGGGTCGCCAGCATGTGGCTCTTTTACTGCCCTGTTTCGGCTCCACAGCAGAATTAGATTTTTAGGTAAAAATAGAATAATCCTCCTTTGCAGTAAATAATAAGACATGAATTGTCTTAAACACTGGAGTTAATGTATAACTGCTGATTCACCCTTTAACCCTGAAGGTTGGCGCGCAGACTGTTGGTCACATAGCAATGCAGGCGAAGAGAAAGATTTAAGATGAACATCAATAAGTTAAAGACGAAGGGACTTATTTGCATTTATAAGCACTCCAGCTGGTTTTCTGATGTGTTTAATCTGTAATGAGAAACTGTTAAACACTAAAAAGTGGCGAGGCTAAAGTCGGCTTCTCGTTTGCCAGCTTCTAGTTTAAATTTTCCCGTTCCATCTTAAATAGTGTGTGCTACACCTGTTATGGTGGAATGTGACTTCAGCCTCTTTAAAAATTAAAAGTTAAGAGAGATTTTGCAAGAAAATGTTCCACTTTTTAAGGGAAGGTTTCCTGCTGGAGATGCGAGAAAAGCGACTATAGCTGAGCTAAAGCTTAAAGCAGAGCAAAGTAAGTCTATATAGGAAGGGATTACATTTACATTCAGTTAACATTTTGCGTTAGCAGATTTGAATCTAAGCTTTTCTTTGGATGCCAAAAATTACAAACAAAAATGTTGTATAGATCGAAAGTTTAGAACCTTCACTTTCCTCTTGTTTTAGTTAGCTGTGAGTTTGAAATAACAATAATGTCCTGTTACAGCACACTTTTGTTAATACCAGCTATAACAGTGACATCTAAGGCTACATTCACGTTACAAGCCTCATTGCTTTTTTACTCAAATCCGCTGCCTCTGACACAACGGTTCACACTCATTTAGTTAAGTGATTCAAATCTGTCATTAATGTGAACAAACCGCCATTCTGAAATGACCCGCATGCGCACATCCTACTCAGCAATGTCACGTGAATGAATCACGTGCGTCACGTGCATCAGCAAACAAACTAACGAGCAGAACGAGCCTTCGCTGCAAAGATAATTAACTCTGATCAGCTCTCAGTTGTTCATTATTAGAGCGAGACGAATGCGAAAAGGGTGAGATGTGTTGCTTTTTCACCGTTTACAGGCTTTAACTTCTGTTCGGCGCTGCTGCCATGGTAACGCTAAATGATGGTGCACAGGCAGTGGGAAAGAAGCACATGAATTCCAATCTGAACGTTCACAAAAAGGTCGCATGGCCATGAATTGGATACGTGTGCAATCTAGGACCACATATGAAAGTGGCTCAGGTCGGATTTGAAAAGATCAGATATGTGTGTCCACGCAGCCCCGAAAACATCAGATCTGAGTCACATTAGGGCAAAAAATCAGGTTGTGCCGCTTCAACCTGGTAATGTGAACGTAGCCTAAGGGTACAAACATTATATATATATATAACCTTCCAGTCTTTTGCTGGTAATGGAGTCTGCAATATCTGCAAGCCTCATCTTACATTTATTTATTATTATGTACTATTATTCTGTAACACACTATGAAACTAACATGTATGTAGTTACATCAGAGTGAGGAATTGGAGTGTGGGCAACATACAAACCATTGGAGTTTAAAAGGCTAAAAACAGCAGTGTATTTATTTATTTCGTTGCACATTTTCTTGACTATGTGGAAAAAATGAGATTCTGGGAAGCCTCAAACACAAAATTGAAAATAGGACATGCAAAATTTCTGATAGGGTTAAACATGAAATTCTCCGTGTTCCACTGAAAGTCATATTTAGTGCAGGAGCTTGCTCAAAGTAGGTCTTAGAAACCAATCTTCCATGCACAAAAATAGCTGGTTTCCCACATATAGCAAGTGTTACAGTATGCATGCTCCTCTTGCTGAGCTGCTGCAGCAGTTTCCTCTGACTCAAACGACCTGCAATGAAGGAAAACAGAAACAATACAAAGTGTAAAGAAATAGCCTCCATCCTACACAGGATGCAAGTATTAGACCCTTCCTCCCAGCAGACCTACACCTTCATATAGCCCGCTCTTTTATAGATAAGCTTCAGTTCGAACACTCAGCGCTCACTTTAGCACGAAAGCAAAGCAAACGTTCTTGTTCAATCATCACGTTGAGGTTTTCAGTGAGAGGTGTGTGTATGTGTCACTCTGAGGTTACACAACTGCTGTACTCAGCCCTGCTCTTCCTGTATTTTAATGAAGGTTTGAGTAGTTGCACATGAATCATGTATTAAAGTGATAGATCGCCAAACGCTCAGGTTTACATAATTCTCACTTAATGTCTAATATACAAACCTCAGTTGCAAAAAAAGTGATTGTTTATTTCATTTAAATTTGTTATGATTTGATGTGATATGATTTTATAAATTTGATGTTCCAAAAAAGTTGGGACCATACGGGGCCTTCGTTGTCTTATTTATCTTCATAATGAAGTACACATTTTCAGTAGGAGATGGGTCTGGACTGAAGACAGGCCAGGGTAGCACCTGTGTCTGATTACTCAGCAGAATGTGGTTAGTCATGGTCATGTTGAAATAAGCATTGACGTCCCTGAAAAAGAAATCTAGGAGGCATAATATGTTGCCCATTATTACACCCCCATACCATGACAGATACTGGCTTTGCACTGGTAACAATCTGGATGATCCTTTCTTCTTTGGCCAGAGAACACAGCGCCTGTGATTTCCATAAATAATCTGAAAGGTTGACTCTTCAGACCACAGCACACATTACCGCCATGCATCAGTCCATTTCAGATGAGCTGGAACCCAGAGAAGTCGGCGGTGTTTCTCCGCTGTGCATAGTACAATCTTAACTTGCATTTGTGGACATAACGTCCTTCGGCCTTATCCTTTTGAGAATTCTTTGAATCTTTTGATGACATGATGCATGGATGGCAAAATACCTAAAATCCTTTGTTCACTAAGGTACATTGTTCTTGAACTGTTGGATGATTGGCTGATGCAGTTTTTTGTGGCAAAGTGGTGAGCCTCCACCCATTTTTGCTCATGAAGGACCCTGAAATATTGCCAAACCTGATCGCATAACCTGCTTAAGATATTTTTTGAACATCTCACAGCATTCCTGGTTCCTTAAATTGCCCTTTGAAACATGTTTGTTTCTTTAGTTTTGTACTGGAGTTAAGAGGCTAATGTCACACATAGCAAAATAAATTTGTGACATATCTTGCCTGTGGTGGCCCAAACTGGGGAAGCTAAGAAGTAATAGAAAGTTAAACCGACAAATGAACGTTGTGCAGAGTGTTCATCATCACACACTTACCTCAAACCGTATGTTAAGTAATGTCAACTACAGCTTATGTGGTTTGGACATTGAATGACATATGATTATCTCTAAAAATGGACAAAATAACACTGCAGAACTAAAAACAGTACTAACGCGGCACCTTGTATAGATAACAGTGTGATATAGAGTGTCAGAAGCCACATGAGCAAGTCTGCTTGAGATTACTTAACAGCTGGACACGGTTTGAGGTTAGCTTGTGATAATTTATTCAGTTGGCAGCGTGCTAATTTCTGCAGTTTAAGCTTCCATTACTTGTTACCCACATTAGCCTCATAGCTCCAGAGCAAAACTAAAAAAGCAAACTTTAGACACCAAACATGTCTTGGCTGACATTTAGGATGAGGTGCAAATTAGTTTTTTTTTTTTCAGCCAAACTATGACTGACTAAGAGAGACAGCTAGATGCTATAATACTGGTGGTTAAAAGGTTCTGCACTGCAGTTAATACATTATATTTTCAAGCCAGCTTCTGGAGAGCAGAGACACGTTTGACCCTAATCATATAGTAATGCTCTTTCCTGGCTCAAAACGTCCACAGCTCCAAAGACCATGTAATCGTTTTAGATCCTCTGTGAGGTCTAGATTGGAAATGAACAGATTCCAAGTGAAACAGCAGCCTAATTTGTGTGTGTGTGTGTGTGTGTGTGTGTGTGTGTGTGTGTGTGTGTCTGTGCCAGTCATGTGTACGATAACGTTGGGCTGAAGGTGAATAGGCACATCTACGAGAACCCTGGAGAGCTGAAAGACGCCACCCCTGACCTTATACTGGCAGTCAAACCGAAAGTGCCTCTGGAGGAGGAAGGACAGGTCAGAACATACACACATACACATGCATGGGAGGGGGGGTTGTCTCACTCAGATCTGGAGCTATGTACAGTACTGTGCAAAAGTCAGTCAAATGTCTAATGTCCAGTCAAAACTGCTATTTAGTACAAGTTATTTATATTTTAGTGTCAGGGAAAAACAAAATGACTATATTTAAATTAATATTTTAATATTCCAATATTTAGTGTATCCACCTTTTGCATTTATTGTAACATTTATTCTTTTCAGGAGTCTTTAATTTTTTGAAGAAATCTGCAGGAGTATTTTTCCACACCTCCAAAGTTCAGTCTGGTTGCATTGGTTACCAAGTAATACCAAATACATTTAATGATGTCAAGGTCTGGACTCTGGGTTGGTCAGTCCATTGTTCTGAGAACAATGGCAGCTACACATCCTTTCAGGCTTATAGCGTTGGGTAGTATTCTCACACTGGAAGGATAGAAAGATGTTTTTTCATATCTGAAGTAAAATTGAAGCATGATTTTCTCCTCTCTCTCAAAGATGAAAGCTTTAAGTGCTGTTTATCTGACGGGCGCAGTTTTGCTGGTCTGCCAGGTCTTGTTGTTAAGAGTCTCATTTTCTCTGTATCTTTTAATCATTTTTTTCAACTCTAGTTTTGGAAATTCCATTTTTTCTTTTTCCTTTGATTTTGTTTTCCTTATTGATTATACGTAATCTCCTCAGAAATATCACCTGAGAAATAAAAATGGCACAATGGCTGTTTTTTGGAAATTAAATAAATTAAGGGTGATCTCTGACTTTTGCACAGTGCTGTAGATGTGTGGTGCGTATGCATAATAATCTCCACTGCTGGTCTATGCTGGTCTTGTACTGGTTAGCTAGTCACCCAGCAAGGTGATGCTGGTTGACCAGCATACCAGCATCAAAAATACAACATATCGCTGTTGTCAGATCAAAACCTTGTATCTCCAAAATGGTAACTTTACAGGAGAAGGAAAAAAACTCTACTTTTTATGTAAGTCAATGGAACCAGACTTTTTTCCAAGTAATTTTGGGCCATTTGTTTTGATTTACACACAATATATAGGACCATGGGTATTTTCAGATTATGTCAAAAACTGAAAAACAAAATGGAGATAAGAGGTTTTGTTCCGACAGCAGCGATATGCTGCTTTTGGTGGTGATCAGCCAGGCTGTTTTTTTGTGGCAGGCTAGTTAAGCTCTTTTTCCATCTTACTCCAGGTACAGTCAATCAGCCTAGGCATGATTAATGTCTGAAGTTATCTTTTTTTAGTTTGCAGCTAATGTGTAGCAAACAAGCAGCATTTTGCTAATGAAATGCCTAAATTATCACACATTAGTTTAAAACTGAAATCAATACATTTTATCTTTATTTTTATCTTTTATAGTCTATGTAATCACTTACGTTTACTTTTAAAGCAGACGTAATTCATTTACCTCATTTCTCATAACGGTAGGCAATAGTACGTGAATATTTAGCACAAAGCTCGGAGCAGTTTTTGAAAGCAGAGTTCTACCTGCAGTGTTTTTACCTCCCACATGTGGACCATGGCGTAGATCAGATCATGTAAATGATCTATATTTGGGAGCTGATTCAGTCAAGACTGCAAAGTTCGCAGATATTTTAACCTTCCGAACGCACTCACTAGTTCTCCCACTCTTTCCTTCTCGTTCTCCATCTCGCTCCCTTTCTCCCACCCCCACTCCATCTCTGTTTTCATCCATCACCCCATAACCCTAGAGCCCTCTCTCTTGTTCGCTCTCCCCCTCTTTCCTGTTTTCTCCCACCTTTGTAGCCCTTTATCTCTCCCTTTATATCCCCAAAGAGTGTTACTCACCATAATAGTCAATATTTAGCACCTTCAGTGTATGACTATGAGAAATGCTAATTCTCTCTCTCTCTCTCAAGATTGGAGTGGATGAAGGGGGTGAGGAGAGGCCATCGGGGAGTGACGTACTGCTCCGCTCAGCGTGTATGGAGAGAGCTGAGAGGAACTCCAGAGCGCTGAGTCTTCATAACTCCATCACAAAGAGTGAGTGCTGCTGTAGCCTGAATCATCTCCCCCCACACATTCAGAATGGGCTTATGCAATAAAGGCCCCTAAAGCCTATGGGCTACTAAGAGACGACATATATGACGTCATTTTATCTTTGTTTCAAATGGTGTCGGGTCATTTTGCCATGCTTTAAGCTTTACCTGTTAGCTTTATTTCCTAAATCGATAGTTGAAATAATGAAATTTATACAGTTTCCTGCCATACTCCTTGTTTTGTGTCTGAAGTTTGCTTCTTTAGTTTTCCGCTGGAGCTATAAAGCTAATGTAGCTAACAAGTAAACTGCAAACTGCATGGCTAAAGCTGCAGTAACACCGAACTTGAGTAAAATCTGCCTAGCGGAAAACCTACTTCACTTGAATGAGAAAGGATGCAAGATCGCGTCAAAGGAATTAGCTTCTTGTAGCGGTTAATAGCGCATTGCCTAGAGTTCGGCCCAAAATGAAATGTACAGTTTCCCCCTTACTCCAAATGTAGTCGGCTAGACAAGACATGTTTGGAGTTTGAAATTTGTTTCATCAGTTTTATGTAATCTTTACGCTAATGCAGCTAAAGTAATAAAAGCCTATACGCAACTATTAGCATTGTGCTAACTGAATGTCTACAAGTTGTTAACTGTATCACACAAAAAAAATGTGTTAAATTCATTTTTAGTTGAGTCTAGGTGAGCTTCAAAGCTGCTGTCCTCCTCTGGTGTTGTTTTGGAGAAAATGTGTAGTTCAGCAAACAGCTAATGCTAGCTAGATAACTAGCGACATTCTGTTGACTGAGGAGCAGTTCCTCCATTTAGTTTTTTTTCTAGAAGATACCACAGCTTGCCCTCTTGCTTTCTAATGGCTCACACTTCCAAGACTCGCAGATTTGGGGTTAATATTAACCGCTAAATTATTTTTTTGCATTTCCAGGTCCTTAATCATTCAAACGAATTGGCTTTTTCAGCTGTGAAAAAAGCAAACTAGTTAACTAGTTAATGTTAGCCACGCACTATAAACTATACGTCCCCTCCAGAACCACATCACCATCCAAACTCGCCTGATCTTTGCTTCACCTCAGCATAGAACATAGCTCAGCTTTTTTGTGACCTTGGCCTAAATCATCACACACTTGCCAAAAACGATGCACAGTTGTTGCATATTCTCAGATAGACCTGGTTATCATCACTGTTGGAACAAAACGTTGTATCTCCATTTTTGATATTTATCACTTGAAATACCAACTGCCATTTTCGGTTTCATGATGAATGGAGCAGTAGAATAACCCCGAATTTGCTTGGAATAAAACCTCTTTACATTAATTTGCATTGAAAATGATGAGTGTTTTTCCGTATACCTGTGAAGTTATATTCTGGAGATAGAAGGTTTTGTTCTGACAGTGACATTTTGTATGACATACTGTATGACATACTGTCTTATGTAGAAATTTATGAGTACATCACATAGCTAAAAAAGTAGTAGCAGCCATCTTGAAGCATGAAGTTTGTCCATACTTTTTCCGGTTTTGTCCATAAAGTGTTACTTGTTAGCTACATGAATTCATAGCGCCAGTGCAAAACTAAAGAAGCAAACTTCACAGGGGAAAATTCTATGTTTGAATTTTGTCCGAAGTCTAGCTTTAAGCTGTAGTGTTTAACAGTTTTATTAGTGCACACATGACATGATGTGTTACAGTGTAAAAAATAAGTGAAGCAGCTTTCTGAATGTCTGCAGTTCATCAGCCGAAGGTGATGCATGGCGCTTTTACACTGTCCCATTTTTCTCCTACTCCAATGAGCCAGTATAAAACCTGATGATACCCAGCTTCAGCCTGTAAGCCTGGGATTCAGTTCCTCAGGAGCATAGCAGGAGTTTTGGTCTGTGCGTGTGCGGCGCAGTGCAAATGCCCGAAGGCATCGTGAGCAGAAGTGTGGCTGGGGAGAATAGCGCTAGTCGTCGTTAATTGCTGTAAATGGAGCCTCATTCTCTGCGGAGTGGGTCTCTTTTTAAGCCAGAATGGGAGCCTGTGGCCGGACCGGAACAGTGCTGGTAGCTCCCCAAAATCACCACCGTAATCGTAATTAAGCCCAAATCTTTTTATCCTTTTTTTTCTTTTCCCTTTGTGCCCTCAAGAGCTGTTCTCGCCATAAAAAACCTGCTGTATTATCCTCTCTTTACCCATCCCTCCCTCCTTCTCTCTCTTTCTTCATCCCTCCCTCTTTGTCTTCTCCTCTTTCATCGCCATCCCTTTATCTCGTTTACCCACAGTTGTCCCCTGCCCCTCCTCCTCTTCACCCCCCCACGCGTTCCTCCACCCCATATCCAAAATGAAGGGAGGACAGATGGGGGCTGGGTTAGGGCCAGGTGGGGGTAAAGGGGGGCAGAGGGTGTTATCCTCCCCGAAATCAAGAGACTCTCTCTGGGCCATCTGGTCCGTCCCTGGCCCTCGTCTTGTGGGGCGGATGCTCCTCTACAGGCTCCATTTATGGCAGGGCTGCACGATATGAGCAGTATTCTAGTATTGCAATTATACTGTTATATATACATATTGCATTATCACTTGAAATGTATTAAAAGTGCATTTGTGAATTAATAATGTGTTGCAGTTGCAGATTGGTTTATTATTTTGAACAACACATTTGCATTTTGTCAGATTAGAAATATCACAGAACCACTCACTGGGCCTGGGATTGGTCAGGAATCTGATTAAAAGTACTGATAATTAGTTAAAAGGCTCATTTGCAGCTTTTTAGACATCAGTATAGAGAATATTGCACTAATGATTAACAAATGTTATATCACACGGCACTATATTATGGCTTGTTTGCTTAGCCTTTCAGTAAATACTCAGGGCTTTTGTTAAAGGGAACGTATCAGCCTCTCAGCAAGCTCCCCTCTCAGCACTGTGTCTATTGGATCTTAGACATAACAATGTGTAAGTGCCCCCTGGTGGATATGATTGGTCATTGATTAGAGCTTCAGTGTTATTCTCTTTGTTCTGTGCTCTTTCAGCTTTCATCTATTTACAGGAATCTTATGTATGTTGGCTGGTGTGTCCAATTGTCTATTGTATATCTATATTTTATTGTTACTGACAGATGTTTTTTTAATCTTTCAGTTCTTTCAGAAACTACAGATTCATCAGAGGAGGAGTGGCAGTCCATTTCAGACCTGGCTACAGCCTGCAGGAGCATTCTGGAAGCCTTGTCGCGAGAAGGTGTGGAATTAAAAAGGCAAACAATGAACTAAAATGTCCAAAAGTACCCAGACATGCCACCTAATTACTTGAAAGCACGTCCATTGCTGTGCTTGTATAATATCTGTAGAAAAGCTTTGACCAATAGAATGGGATGTTCTGGAGCACACATGAGCCTGAGGTCACCAAGTCTAATGCTAAGCATTGGCTAGAGGGGTATAAAAGTCCCCAGCATTGGGCTGTGGAGCAGTGGAGCTGCATTCTCTGGAGTGATGGAGCTCCATCTAATACCTTTGGGATGAGTTGGAGTGATACAGAACTAATCATCCAACATCAGTACCTGACCTCACTAATGCTCTTGTGGCTGAATGCAATCAAATCTTTACAGCAATATTCCAACATCTAGTGTAAAGCCTTCCCAGAAGAGTAGAGGCTGTTACTGCAACACAAGAGAACAAATTCCTTATTAACACCCCTGATTCCAGAAGAAATGCTGGACAGAAGAGATGATACGTGAGACAATAAGACAGTTTAACAATGAAAAACCGGCGTGTCACTCTCCTTAATGTATTCAGGACTGTTAGACTCTCCTGAGAGAGTATGTGTTTCTTTGTTAGTGATGTTTAGCTGTCGGGGTGACTAACCTGAGTTAGCCTGACTAATACGGCTGAGTAATGGAGTGGAATGCTGTGTTTCAGACCGGAAGGCGGGAGACGGCAGCCAGGCAGCAGCAGACACTGGGACCTTGCCGGGTCAGACAGATGCCAAGCTCAAAGATATTAAAGACAGGTGAGACAGACGTGTACACTGCACATGATTACTGTATATGATGTGACTGCAGCAGTAAGTAATTGGACAATGACAAATTTTGTTTTTTTGGGGTTTTTTACTGCAACATATTGGACTTGAAACAGTGACTATGTGACTATATAGAATCTCAGCCTTCTTTTAAAGATATGTACATTAGTAGTTGAAGGATATACAGTTGCATGCAAAAGTTTGGGCACCTGTGTTCGCATTTTGATTTTGAAGTAAAAAAGATAATACTTCCTTTATAGAGAACACACCTCTACATTTTAATGCACATTTACAGTTTATTTGCTGAATTTAACATAAAAATAAAACATAAACTGTGGCCTGTGCTACAAGTTAAAAATAATAATACAATAGTAAAGTATTTTATGTTCTGTTCTAGTTGATTTTCTAAGTGAAAATATATAAATATTCTGTACAGAGAACAAACTTTTCTCACATTTTTTCGCACATTATAAGACAAAATTACTGTTTGCTAAATGTTTCTAATTGGGTAAAAATCTGGTCTGCGCAAAAGTTATGGCACATTTAATATTTTATTTTATATTTTCCAGTATGTTAAACTCAGCAAATAAATAGAAATTGTGCACTAAAATGGCAGAAAAAGTTGGGATGAGTTGCACATGACTGTAAAAAGCACAGTTCTTTATATTTCATTTAAATTTCAGGGACACCATAGCAGTGTAGGAAATAGTAGTTTTTATTTTTTAACCAATTTTGTATCAGTGTATGCCAGCAAGTTCCACCTTCTAGCAAAGTCTCCCTCAATCTCCTGTTGCTACCAATCTGGGAGGGTGTACGTTAACACAAGCTTCCTCCAAAATGGGTCAAGCATCACCACATCTTTTCAAGGTGCTGCTAACTCAACATCCTTGAACAAGCTTGGAGAAGAATGCTAAATGCTAATTTTGTCATGTCAGCTATAATTGGTGAGAAATGGTGGGAGAGGGAGTCTCATCCTGCCCACCCAGAGAGAGCGAGGCCAGTTATGCTCTTCAACCACAGATTGCTGTGGCATTGCCGGGTATTGAACTCACAAGCTCCTGACACTAGAGCCAATGCACAGACAGTGGAAATATTACTGATTTAAGAGGTATTTTTGTGTTCAATGACTGAGGTTTAGGGGCATATAAATAAAAATATATAATAATAAAAGACTATAAAAACATTTCTAAAGTTTCAGAAATGTGCCATTCACTCCCAAGTCCATATATGGAAATTAACCTGCAAAGCCAGCCCATTTTGTATTCATTGTTTGTCACAAAAAGCCTACACATTTACAAATAACCGCCTAGCAGTTTAGCTCCGCCCATTCACACTAAAGTTATAAAGGAGTGTTTCAGCCTGGAATGTTTTCTGAATGAAGCACAATACAGGGCAGCCAATCAGAACAGAAGTCATTCATTTACATATATCAGTCTTAAAGGCAGAATAATAAAAACAGTTTAAGAAGTTGGAAAATGGTCATGTAAAATTAATTACAGCTGCACTTTAACCCACACAAACATCACCTTTTTTTTGGACCCAAGTATTGAAGTATTTGTACGATTGGGTGTTACGTTGGTTCACAGCCAAGTGTGTGATGATCACATGCACAGTGGTCTTCTCAAATGGTGAGACTATAAATAGGCCTGTGATTCTGGTTTGGTGTACCCAGCAAAGATGTAAATACCCTTAAATTAGAGCTGGCAGTTTTACTGGAGTACAGAGCCAAAACAACTAAAACTGTGTCATGGTGCATTAATTACTTGCGAACTGTACTGTCCTACATCTGTTATCTAAACCCAGAAGGAGTAAATGCATAAATACTATGTAGGACTAAATATATAAATCTGTTACTCTACTGCTACTACAATGTTACTGGAGTTAGTGTAGCTTTTTCGAGTCAAAGGCAGATGCCAGGACTGGTGTTTTTGTGCTGAACGTGTGATGCTCAGGCAAGCCAAAGAGAAACCATGCAGTAACTCAAAATTATGATCAGTGAGGTGTAATTTGTCTGTGTCGACCTCAAAAATGGTCCCATTTGCAGGCATTTTCTATCTTGCTCCTTTTGTATTAGGGGCTTCGAGTGTCTCTAATTCATAATGCAGCATCTTTCTGGAGGCATGTCCCCGTCAGGACTCTGACTCATACATTCTCTCCATCTCTCTAATCTCATCTACACTGAGCGGAGATCAGAGATGGGGTCTCGACCAGGACTGGAGTTGTACTTTGTACTTTTCCCATGTTGACTGACGACTAGTGAAATTTCAGCCTGAGGAAAAAACTTTGATTAATTTTGGGCCGCAAACCTTCATTCAGTAAAAGAATAAAACTTCCATTACAGCCTTACCTGTGTGACTTTGCACGTTGGTGCTGCATGTGCAGTCTTTGTTGTAATGCTATTCTCTCGCAGCGACATCAGGTTCAAGCTTTGTGTAACGAGCCTTTCGTTACAGAAAAACCTTCCATCTGCAGGACAGAACACTACAGTTCTACATATAGTAAATATGGTGTTTAAAGGAAGGTCATCTTGAAACAGTGCCTAGCATGGATCTAAAATATGGTAACTATCGGATAGCTAATATAGCTGAAGTTGTCAGCTGATCTAGCTGAAGTTTTCGTTAGGCTGGGCGTACACTACACAACTTTGAACATTTTAACAGATTCCTAAAATGGAGAGCATCACAAACTCAACGTCAGTTTGTCACAGGATTTCTTGTCTTGTTGTGAGGGTGCTCACACTAGACGACACGGCAAAGAGAGAGTATAACACATAACGAGTCTGGGCTACAAATAAAAACTCAAACTCCCAGATGCCCTCAGAGATCACACAACACAAACAAAGCTAAACTTACTGGACCTGTTTGTGCTTTGATGCGTCACAAAAGTGTAAACTAAGGATTAAAATGGGGCTGAGAAGCACTGATGTTTTGCCTGTTTTGTATTACAATATTTTATACTAGTGCTGTTTACTATCCGGTGTCGACCAGAGGAGGATGCGTTCCCCTTCTGAGTCTTGGTTCCTCTCAAGGTTTCTTCCTCTTGCTCTTAGGGAGTTTTTCCTTGCCACTGTAGCCACTGGCGACGCTCATGGGGGCTTGGACCCCAATTTCTCTGTAAAGCTGTTTTGTGACAACACCTGTTGTAAAAAGCGCTATATAAATAAACTTTGACTTGACTTGACTTGATATTAGAGGGAGAACTGGAGAAATATATGACTACAAACTGGGAGCTGACTTGAAATTGTAAAGAGAGTGCCTTGACCTCTGGATCCAACATTATAAACATTATAAACATGATATCGGCTCTTTTCTGCCTCTTTTCTTCCTCTGTCTCTGCTCCGCTGTTCAGATGTTCATGCGTGTCTCTTCGCCTGTTTCTCCACTCATCTAGCTCTCTGATTGGCTGTTGTTTGAATCACCCGTTGAGTAAATCTCTGAGTTTCTCACACTTGAGGACCTGTGAACGTTTTGAGTCGTAAATATCAAACATAATACCAGAGGGCTTCCGATCACTTCAGAGTTTGATTGGAGGGCTAAAGATTCTCGTTGCTCCTATCACACTAATAGATTATCCGTGCTTCCGATCAAGATCCCGACCTGGAAAATCTCTTTGGATTGTGAAAATTTGTCACAAGGGGCAAATCTGGATTAAAATTGAGCAAAAGTCATGTATCGTAGGCCCAGCCTTACAGATCACAGATTAGTCAGTTCACTATCTAGCTAGCATACTTGCTATAAAAATTCCAGACTAGCCAGCTGTTTCAAGTTGTTTTGCCTCTGTCCTCTGAACTCTGCATTTACTGCATATAATGCTTCAGTTATGTCCTTCACAGTGAAGGTTTTTCTATAAAAGGCCTGTTATTTGCCATGTTGAGCCTATTTTATGCAATGCTCTTTCATACAATACAGTTTTTATACAATGCCCTGTGTTCTTTCACAGGCAGGGGAAGCATATAATGTCTAACTATCCCTAATGATGCCAGATATTACTAAGATTTTATCAGAAAAGGAAATAGCACCATCTTGTGGATTAAGAAGTGCATTCTGGTAATCTACGTCTGACAATTGGCTTAATAATCCTTTAATTATTCATAAATAAATAATAAAATATGGATATTTGGGCATCTTTGTGTCAGTACAATTTTTCTTAATATTGTGATGTTATACTGTATGGATTTTTTCGCCAACCCCTAAAAAACGTTTCTGCTCTCACTCTCTCTCTCCTGCAGTGACTCACCTGGTCACCTGGAGGAGAAGGTGTCCCAGTTGGAGGCCATGCTGAAACGACTACAGGATGACCTCCAAAAGGTATTTTCCCTCCCCTTAGCAAGTCCTTTTGGAGCTTCTGAGCCCCCCCCTCCCCAAAAAGAATTCCCACCCCTATCCCTCACCTTTTTCACCTAATTGCCCCACCCAGTCCCCCCCTGCCCTTATCCACCCCAGATCCAAAAATGACTTCACAGAGGCAATCAGGGATTGTAGCGGTAGGGCGGGACAAGCAAAAGAAACCTGTCTTGTCATTGGGCAGGGCGAACAGAGGAGATGAGAAGATGGCTGGAGGGACATTGGGCAGCAATGCTCACTCTCTCAACACTAAGCGACCAATGGCAGTCGAGGCAAGTACAGCATGAGATTTTTCCTCCATTGCGCCAAAACCGAATTAAAACAACCAAAACCAAACCCAGTAACACATTTTCAATTCTCAACCTGTCAAAGCAAAAGAAAAATGAGCTTTTAAAAAGCTGACCCAGGGAGGTGTCCTAACATGCAGTGAGATGATGTGTGAGATGCAGGAATTAATGAGAGGTGCATAAAAAAGCTACATTATAATCAGACTAAGATCAACATAACATAAAATAAGCAGTAGGGCTGCATGACATGGATAAAAATGCTATGTTTAATAAAGCTGTTGGACGTCACGATAAAGATATGAAAAACTGTAAATTATGATTAAAACAGTGTGCTTTTGATCGAATGCTTACATCAGAACTGTGCTCATATTTTTATGTGCACTGTAAGGCTGAAAAGCAGTCAGCATATTCTGAACATTTTTTTTCTGGCAAGGCTATAAAATAAAATGAATGAATGTAAATAGGGCTACAAAAAGAAATAAAGATTTATTTGATTCCTTAAAAAGCTCCTTAAAGTGATGCATGTTTGTTGTGACAGTAGTTATTACTGCTTCATAAAGAATGAGTGAATGAATAAATGAATGAATAAATAAATCATCACTCTTGAACCAAAACCTTGTATCTCCAAAATAGAAACGTTACAGGAGAAAACGAAAACATACTTTACTTTTAGTGTTAGTCAGTGTAACCACACTTTTTTCCCCAAGATATTTTGGACAGTTTCTTTTGGTCCGTTCCTCATGACCTTTACACATAATTTAACAGGCAACTGGCAAGTTTGTATCATGTCAAAAAATTAATAAAAAAAGACAAAAACCGAGAAAAAGGGTATGATGATGCACGTTTGTTGTGACAGTAGTATTTATTGTAATTACTGCTTTATGATGGATGAATGAATGAATCAATAAATATAATAAATATCATATATATATATATATATATATATATATATACTTATCTAAATATTTAGTATTATTTATATATTATACATCTATAAATCTATAAGTATGTACTAATTATTCTAAATATGTAAATATCTTGACCTCTGAAGTAATTTTACAAGCTAGTAGTTCAAGATAAAGCAGTTTTTGAGTTTATCATAAAAACTCGCAATAATGATACAAATATGACTCTTCATGCAGCCCTACTGAGCACCAAGCCTAATCAAATAACGTTGATGTAGTCTGTCTGATTGGCATGTCAAGGAGAACATGTTCTACTTCCGAAAGAAAGAACAGAAAGGTGGAAGAGTAGTTATTTGATTGGAAGACAGTTGGAAGAAGAAGTGAAAAACACGTCTTGAGCCTCACGGATCAAATTTAAGAACTAGGTGCCTCACACTCAATTGACCTTAAAGGTCGGAGTAATTCAGACCTCTCCAGGGACATTTTCACACACAAGGATGGACATACAGTTCAGTAAAACACACTGTAGCATCTGCAGGGACTGAAGCGCAAATGACATTCTCTCAACTGAAAATGTGTGACATCCTCCATTAAGAAGCGAGACAGGGTCCAAGCTAACACGATGATCTTCTGGCTTGACCACCTAAGCAAACCTACTCTTCTTTTTTTTATCGGTGCTTTTGTAACCTGCCCCCCATTCCTTTCTCTGTCAACCTCACCATTAACCCCCTGCTGTGTTATCATCAATCTAGAGAAAGGCAAAACAAGGGATCAACAATAGTCATCATTTTCACATTCCTATTTGAGGATTATTATATCAGAGTGTCAGAGTGAGCATGGATTTTATGAGGGCCCATAGTTCTCCAATAAGGCTGCACGATTAATTGTATTAATTAATTGGATTAATTTTTATTGTCACCGCAATATGATTGTGATAAGCATGAAGTGCTGCAATAACAGAACAGATCAGATTACGTTACACCTGCAAAGTGAATTAGGCAGCATTAGGAGCCGTGTCTGGGAGTGAGTGTCTTATCCACTAAGCTGTACAGCCGCTTACAAAGCTGACCAGTGTGTATCACTGAACAACTACTCTGCTGTTAACTACTAGCCTGTAGTGGAATGACAATTTGAAATTCCAAGTGTTAAATATGTAAACATAAAATGTGTCAAGTAGTGCCTAGTAAAGTCGGCAGTGCATTTTAAACGAAAAGACATTTTTGAATCGAAACAGTCCTTTTGGCCAGAACGATGCAGTGGTCTTAGTACATCTGGTACGGTTTGTTCAGCTTGCTCAACAAAAGTTCTAATCACTGTATCATTTGTTCTGAGACCACTTACTGATTAGTCCACTTAGTGTCACGTTTGCTTGTTTCACTGCACAAAGCCTCTAGCAGTGCCGAGAAGTACAATTATATAATATATTTAGTATATTTACGACAGTTGTAGCTCCATTTCATTTACTTATTTTCCCATGTGAAGTATACTGTGGGCTTAAGGTTGTGATGATTTCAGTACAGTATCAAAACGGAACATTCACAACCTCCGTCCAAAAATATAAAGTCAGCAGAGAGGTTATACATGCACCCATACACAAATCACTGTGTTTTGTTTATGAAGTTTTGGTAGATTATTTAGTTAGTATAATTAAGACATCTTAACATGCAAAATATCAAGAATCTAATCAAATTTATACTTCAGAATTGAAACTCCTATTGAACATAATTATGTGTGTTGACACTCCTAGTGGTAATCCCAATGGCAACGCAGTAAACCCGTATTACAACAAAGAGCTTTGTAAAAAGAATGCTTATATATTTAGAAAAAATATAATTTCTATAAATAGAAAAAAAATGTTGGGGAAATGCATGCAGTTGTAAAGCTATAAATATTTCATTCTTTTTATTCTGAAATTTGCATATTAGTGAGTAGTGATTGAGTAATATTTGCAGTGCATATTTTGTATGGAGAATTGTTGAATGAATAGAAAATGAAAAAATGATTAAATGTTTTGGGTCTGATTACACAGCAACAAAATCAGTGAGAATCAGAGATGATTGCAATTGCAGTATCCAATGACTTTATCTCACTTTGCAATTTCTGTCCATATCGTGCAGCCCTATTCTTCAGTAGCCTTTACCCAGAGTCTGCTCTGCGTACCCTTTTTCCCTTTTCACTAGCAACCCTGGTTGTTACAATACTGAAATATTTTTTCTTGATTGCATAGATTGTTTAGTATTATAAATACACACTATATGGCCAAAAGTATGTGGACACCTGACCACCACACCTGAGCTTGTTGGATATCCCATTAAAAAACCATGGGCATTAATATGGAATTAGCCCCACCCTTGCAGCTGTAACAGCCTCCGCTCTTCTGGGAATTATTTCCATAATATTTTGTAGTGTGTCTGTGGGAATTTGTGCCCATTCAGTCAGAAGAGCATTTGTGAGGTCAGGCCCTGTTGTTGGACGAGAAGGCCAATTCATCCCAAAACGTGTTCAGTGGGGTTGAGGTCAGAGTTCTTTGCAGGCCACTGGAGTTTCTCCAAACCAAACTCATTAAGCCATGTCTTTATGGACCTCGCTCTATGCACAGTGGCACAGAAAACAGGACATAGTCTTCCCCAAACTGTGGCCACAAAGTTGGAAGCATATAAATGTCTAAAATGTCTTTGTATGCTGTAGCAAAACAGTCCTGGGCTGTTATCCCTCCTCCCCCAAACTTTACTGTTGGCACTGTGCAAACAATTAGGTAGCGTTGTCCTGGCATCCGCTAAACCCAGGTTTGTCAATTAGACTGTCAGATTACGAAGTGTGATTCATCACGTCAGAGAACATATTTTCACCACTCCAGAGTCCAGTCACGGCGCGCTTTACACCACTCCAGCTGACACATGGCATTGTGCATAGTAATCTTAGGCTTGTGTGCAGCTGCTCAGCCGTGGAGACCCATTTCAAGCTCCTGACGCACAGTTCTTGTGCTGATGTTGCTTCCAGACGCAGTTTGGAATTCTGCAGTGAGAACAGAAGATGGGCCGTGTTTATACCCTGTGTGCTTTAGCACTTGCTGGCCCCACTCTGTGAGTTTATGTGGTCTACTATTTTGTGACTAAGCTGTTGTTACTCCTAGATGCTTCCATTTCACAAGAACATTACAGATGACGGGGGAGATCTCGCAGGCAGAAATTTCACAAACTGACTTCTGGCAAAGGTGGCATCTTCTAGTGCCACGTTTTAAGCCACTGAGCTCTTCAGTACAACCTATTCTACTGTGGGCTGTACTGAAGAGCTCAGTACAATCCATATGGAGATTGCACGGCTATGTGCTTGATTTAATACACACCTGTTTGCAGTGAGTGTGGCTGAAACACTTGACCTCAATAATTAGGAGAGGTGTCCACATACCTTTGGCCATATAGTGCATATACAGTTTACCTTTACTATCTGTTTTCAAATCTCAATTTTGAGAGCCAAATATGACCTTTCCAAATCGTCAGACCCCTTTGAAAGGGCATTTTGTCCAGCATAGCCTTACAAAGCTAGGCTATCCTTTAAACAAAATAGAGAACAGTAATATAAATGAGCGATAATGTATGTAGGTAAAAGAGGCTTTTCATATGATTGATGATAACGGCAGCTGAACTAGCCACACAGCATGATAAGTAGGACAACATATGCATACATCTACATAAACAGAAACTGACAGCTTCTGAGTGGCGTCCATGCAGCACTCGGAGTCTAAATATAACTCATTATTCAGGTTTGTTAAAGCGTGAAACTAGTATGGTTTTGTTGGCTACGGGCTTTTAGAGCTACTGTCCACAAGTCTTATCTTTTTCAGATGCAATTAATCCTGATCGGGGCCTTAAGAACACAGGCGTAGTCTATTTTAAGCCATCTTCTTCGGAGATGGCATCTCATGAATGCTTAATGCGGCTGTCATAAGCTGTTTATGTATGTCTGATGTTGTTGCACTTAGCGTGCTTTGTGACAAGCTACCCTCATCTCACCTCATCTATTAATTATGGCTAACTGAAAAACAACCTCTTCATTTTCCTGACAGCAGAGCTGCTGCGTTTAGAGGAAAGAGTTTGTTAAAACCCCCATGCAAATTGCAACATGCCGTTGAACTCTTTTTCCTGTTACTCTTTGTGGCTCTGTTTTGTCGTTTTCACATCTCATCAGTCTTGTCCTTCCCAGTGGCTTCGGATATTTTCTGCCCTTAGCAGCTGATTTATGGACTAGCCTCCTTCTAAAACTGAAGGTTTAAGTAAACATTGAAGCTAATCCTGGACTAGATGTTAAGGGCACTAAATACGTGTTGCCTCAGGTTAAAGATGGTAAGAAAAATGTGAGAACCATGGTACTGAAAATAAAGTGAGATTTTATTTGATTTACTTTTCCTCATCCTGATTTCCCATTTCAAATCTTCAACAGCCATTCACAAACTAATGAGAGTGAAGCAAGAAATGAGAAAAATGATGACCAATACCAATTTAAAGGGGCTAAAAATGTCTGAGAACCGATATCTGCCAATATAGGTTTTTAATTTTATTTTATAATTTAATTGTCTTGTACTATATAATCTTATACTCCAATGTACTTTGCTGACTGATTTAATTTATTAACTCATTTAGTGTTAATTTCCTCATTTTCATTAGTTCCCTTCAAAAAGACATTGTGTTAGAATATGTTATTGTTATGCTAAAGATTACACTTAAGTTACTTTGCGTGATGTCACAGAACAGAGGTGCTCAATCCTGGTCCTAGAGATCTACCACCATGGAGAGTTCTGATCCAACATACCTAGCTCTAATATTGTGATGCCCCTGAAGCCCTAGATTATGCTGAGATGCCCCTGATGCCCTAGATTATGCTGAGATGCCCCTGATGCCCTTGATTATGCTGAGATGCCCCTGAAGCTCTAGATTATATTGAGATGACCCTGAAGCCCTAGATTAGGACTAGAGCTAAACTCTGCAGGGTGATAGCAGGATTGGGCTCCACCACCACAGAAGAACCACTTTTGTTTTTTTAAGGCAGTGATTCTCAAACCAGCCATCAGGAACCCCCAGAGAGTCCGCACTTTTGCACCAATCCAACTGACACTACATAGGGATTGAGTAAAAATGTGGACAGTCTGGGAGTCCCGGAGGACTGGTTTGAGAACCACTGCCCTAAAGAACCTTTCAGTGGATAGTTCTTTAGATAACTGTTTTTTGTAAATGAGATGTCTATGTGTGTATAACCTTTTAAAAGTTTCAAGAACATCCACATTTAAAAGTTCTTCACATTTCACAAATCTCTTTTCAGACAAGGTCTTTTAGGGCCATGGCTCTCAAATAGTTTCTTTTGGACCCCCAGATGGTCCGCACCTTGTACCAACCCAACAAGACAGTGATAAAGCAATTATGTAGACAATCTGGAGGGCACTGAGGACCAGTTTGAGAATCACTGCTTCATGGAATTAAAGGTGGTTCTTCTACAGCATTGCTCAGAGCCTCAATACCCTTTTTTGTAAGAGTGTAGGGTATGTTTTACATGTTTGGATATTTCAACATATCATCATGTCTTCAAAATTCACCAGTTCAGCCTGTATTGCTGTTATACACAGTTGTATGGAAAACGTAAACACATTCTCTACAGGGAACAAACTTAAATATGCATGCATTTGTCTGTAGGTTTTAGTGCACAATTTCTATTTATGTGCTGAGTTTAACATATTGTAAAAAATAAAACACAAAATACTAAATGTAAAATAACTTTTGCACAAGCCATATTTATGTTTTTTTTCACTCAGGGTGTTAAAATTCAACAAATAAATAATAAGTGTGCATTAAAATGTGCAAAAGTGTGTTCTCTGTAGAGGATGTGTAACTTTTGTTTTATTATCTGGAGAATGCAAATTCAAATACTGGCAATGCTGTAACCAAACAAGTCAGTAAATATCAGTGCATTATTGGTGATTTTTTTTTGTATATATTCATTTCATGTATATATACACCATATATATATATATATATATATATATATATATATATATATATATATATATATATATATATATATACACCAAAGAGTCAGGAGTCAACCATGGTTAACTTTTCTATCCATCTTTAACACTTTATTGTTGTATAAGTCTCTTTGTTCTTCTTAGTGTGCTCATTTCATGCTGAAGTATGTGTGACTTCTCTGTGAACTTTAAAGAGTGTTTCTGATGTAGTTTGGTGTGGTGGTGGGATTATTATAACTTTATAGCGGAACCAATATGAGTTGCGCTATAAAGTTATCAAAACTGTTTTGGTACTATATGAATTTTTTTTTTTTGTTAAAGGAGATTTTTTTCAAAATATCTGCATAATTAAATGGTTAAGATGTAATCAAAGTCATTCAGAGTGGTTTGGTGTGAAATGCTCCGTTCTTGCTAAACTTACAGAGTCAGAATTGTTCACAGTGGTGGTGATGGGAACCAGATGTCTGAAGAGTTCCCTCCCGCGGTCTGATGCCTGAAACACTGTTTTACAAAAGTTTTGAGAAGGTTTTGGCCTAAAACATCTTTTTAAAAAACATATTCATGGTGGAGAGGTACATACAGGGTGTTGTGAGGCAAAATAGTACCCAAATCTTTTTTGATTCAAATTTTCCACAATATTACCATCATCAATATTGTATATAAAAACTTTACAGACACATATAGGTTAACTGGTGGTTTTGGATAGTAAATAAAATGCTTATATTTGTGTTGTAGACATTGTGACGCCTGGTTCCTATCAGCACCACTGTAAGGAGAGTCAGTAAGTTTCTCTACAATGAAGCATTTCACATCAAACCACTCTGAATGACTTTATTTACATCTCAGCAACTGAATTCTGGGGAAATCCTGAAAAATCTGTGGAAATCCCCTTTAAGAGTGTATGGTCAATACAGGCTTTAGATTATAACTGGATTCTTGTAGTAAATCATAGCCTAAAAGGCTACATTTAGGAGCAACAGTAATGCTCAAATTATACTGTTCAAATTTGGATGTTTAAAGGAACAGTTACGCAAAAAATCTAATGTACACAATTTGTCACTTACCCCAGATGGGGCTGATCAGCCAAAACATGTTTGGTGCCCGGATTTTACTCCTTTAGTTGAGCTCTGGAACTGCGAGGCTAACATTGCTAACAAACACTGTAAGTCAATAGTCACCCAAGTCTTTTCTGTCAATACATACCCAGAACTTTTCTCAACCCTCTCAGCCCACTTCATTATTGTCCCATAGACTTATCACGGTATGACTCACTGTCAGCTAAAAAATGAGAAAGCAGGTGTTGTGCCAAATTCTGAGTCCTTCACATACACTCACATAACACAGGATGCCATGGATTCGGTAGCAATTTCTGTTGTTTTTAATAAATAACTGTCAATCTTGAAGATCAGTGTTTACAAATAAAAAACAACAGATATCATGAACATTGTCCAGAGTCAGCATTTTCACATGAAAGTAAAAGGGAGTCAGTTTCTGTGGCAAAATTCTAACTTGGCACAACACCTGTTCTCTAAAGTGGCTGCCAGCTGCGTTCGATTACGTTTTTTTCAAGTTTTATAGCTCACAGTAAGTCATACTCTGAGCAGTTTGAACAAGTTGAAATAAGTTTTGGGGATGTATTTACAGAAAAGATTTGGCTGACTACTGATTTCTAGTGTTAGCAACATTAGCATCATGTCTTCAGTGCTAAATTAGAAAAGCAGAATTTGGACAGCAAACCTGACTGATCGGCTACATCTGAAGGGGAAATTTGTATAAATTTGATTTCTCGGCAAAACATTCTTTTAAAAAACTGGTAGCATTACCAGCTACCAACGTCCAAAACAGAATAGAAAAGAACAGATTACATATGTTTAGACCAAAAATTCAGCTGCATGTTTAAATGTAGCCACTCAACGGGATGCTCTTATTCTATTCTAGCTCTGCTCCCAGCCACCTACACCCTAGCTTTTCCCACCCACAAGCAATCCCACCCTGTGCCCCAAGGGGGCGCTCTGATGGTCAGTTGTGTTGTGTGTGCCACTCCTTCGGCAGGAGAAAGAGGACAAGGCGGTGCTCCAGGCAGAGGTGCAGAGTCTGAGGCAGAACAACCAGCGGCTACAGGAGGAGTCGCAGACCACCGTGGCGCGCCTCATCAAAGTCACCGAGCTGCTGTGCAATGTCAACAAGCCCTGCTAGTAGAACGAGCCTGCAAGAAACACCCTTTTAGAGACCAGTGAAGATCAGTACAAATGTGAGCAAGTCCTGCTAGCAGTGCAATCCAACCTGCAAGACCCATAGAGACTCATAGAGACCCCTAAGGAATGACGCAAATTTGTTAGCAAGCCCTGCTAACAAAGCAAGTCATCTCAAACCTTAAAAGATGGATATGTCCTTAATTCCTGCTAGCAAAGTGTGCCATCCATATCAGTTGTACAAGATGTTGGCCAGTTATGCTGTCCAAACCAAAAGAGCCCGTACATAAACTCATAAAGACTACTGAAGAACGACACACATGCTAGCAAGGTCCACTAGCAAAGCAAGTCAACCAAAGTTACATGAAAGACAGACATAAACCTATAAATGGCGATGTTGGCCACCCCTAACAACTCCATAAGAATGATCCAAATACTAGCAGGTCCAGCTAGCAAAGTAAGTAGCAACATATAAGGCGAGGAAGTAAGGGATATATTAGCATATAGCATCTATATTTGAAGATGGGTAGGTCTACATTGGGGGCAAACATGCCAGCCTACAGGCCTGTAGAAATATCGCACAGAGACTGGTGTAGCCTAGCTGTGTCAGTATAGTCATATATTACTTCTAAAGAACCTTCATTATAAGAGCAAAATGGAACCCCAGAGCCTGTATTTAGCTCCAGGCCTGCTGAAATGAAGAATTTGATGCTAAGCTTTGGTTCCACTAGTGGTTTCACAGAATCAAGGGCACTTTTTTCTTGTCAAACCTCATTAAATCCAGCATTGTGGACTTTTGGTGACATTGATAGACATCTACAGTGAACAGGGCCAGCCAGGAATTTGTAGTCCAACCTAAAATGAAGACATTTCTGATAATGAATGACAGTTAGGTGTTCGTTTAGCATAATGAGATCATGCTAAGTTGTCCCCAGTAGCTTTCGTTTGTTGTTAGCGAAGTTAGCCTTTCTGGAACAAGTGTTCCTTTAAGGGAATATAAGGGATTTTTTTCTATGCTCTTATTAATGATTCATTGAACACCTTTAAACAGTTCCTGCTGATGTTGAAAGACCCATTAATATTCACAAATCTGGACATATCTATACAGTATGTTGTTGAGAAATCAGCATGGACAAGACTTCTCAAAGCTTCTCAGAGTAGGAATGCTAATTCAGGATTGGTTCCGATCTGTAAGGTCATAGCAAACAAGAGAGACATCCTAGATCAGCATGTCTCCTCTGAGAAGCTTTATGAATATGGGCCTTGCTCACATAACTATGGTGCCCATCTTTCAAATAGATTCCTAGGTCTAGTTTGTCCTTGAATCTAGTTTGGCGCCTCAGATTAGCTGCTAGTCCATCATCATCCTGCCCATAAGCTAATATCAGCCACCAGTATTACTCTGGGCACTTTTGCAAAATGGTGAAAATGGGGGCATTGCTATTAGCATGCTACTTGATTAGCGTGTATCTGCTATCATGTTAATGTGTCTGGCTGACTGTAGGTTATTTCATAACTACAGATTTTCTATAATTTTAGAAAAGTCTAGCGACAACAACAACAAGGTCAGGACTAGAAGGCTGAGCCAGTTTTGTATCAGTTTATTGACCAACCACAGCTTTTTATTTCTCTAATTTAGCTAATTTATAGCTAATTTTTAGACCTGGACACCTCTGCAGAATTCTCTATCCTCTTTGCCTCCTACACTTCCATCTCTCCTTCCCTATGGTTGGCTTTGCGGTGTTGCCAACTCCTACACAGATGGACACTGCAGGGGTGGCCAAACAGCTGCAGGACATATTAAAATGGAAGGGAATTGAGCATCTATGGACCTGAATCATCTGCTTCTGAAAGACAACCTAGCCTGGCACCTTCTCTTACCTTCTCTCAGTATCATTGACAATGAATGGACCTTCTGCAAGCCTCAAAATGAAGGACTAAATAAAATGGCCTCTTCTCGCGTATGTAAGATAATGTGAAAACCTGTCAAAAAAAGCTATTTGCAAACTAAACATTGCGAACACTTAAACTCCAAGGGAGTGGATTTGTACTTGGGATAAATTGGGATGCAGCTTCTGTTACTGGAAGGAAAGACTCCGCTCGCTGGACATGAAGGGAACTGCGTCTGACCACAAAGGGAAACTTGACTTGAAATAGATGGGATTCCTGCATCTAATGACAAGACTGAGCCTTTTTTTGCTGTATTCAAAGACATTTCTAGAAGTCTACTGATATTGTATGGTATTTGCTTTCGGTAAGTGACTGCTGGCTCAAGATGTAAACTCCACGTTAGCCTCTTGCGTGTGCTTTAATTCGCTCATGCCGGAATGGACTGTCTGCTTGGGACGTTGCACACGTGTACATTTACAATTGTTCCTTTTTATCGCCCCTGCACATCACTTATACATCGAAGTACTCGCACTTCTTACCTCACGTCAGATCCACTGATGGTGACATCACAATGTGACATAAAAAGCAAGAAAAGAAACAAACTCTTGCCTTGTTGCCAGTGCAAACCCTCCACCGCAAGGCACGTGTGCACCCTGGACTAAACTTGACCAAAACAGACAGGCATACACACACATACATGCAAAGGGATGCCAAGAGAAATGTTGAAGAACCCGGTCAACGCGTCTGTATGTTGTACATAGTCTTTTAAGCTCCTCCTCTTGTTATTTTAGAGTCACTGTGATAAGCCGGTACCAGCAGATTCTCATATAATGAAGATTAAATTATAACTCTTTATCTTTATGTCTTATGTGAAGATGTACAGCCAAAACAATTCAGTGTTACTTCCCTCTGAGGCTCCACAGCTAGACCGAAACAGGTCTGGCCTAGCATTCTCAGTCAAGCGTTGGCCAGTTACGGAGTTATAGGACCTGTAACGCTGCGCAACGGTTTAGATTTCTGTGAGAATGTGGAGTTCAGGCTTAAAGGAATGGACAAATTCAAATTTACACAATTTTCTACTTAGTCTAGATGTAATCAACCAGCCAAGGCACACTTGGTGTCCAAATTTTGCTTCTTTCATTTAAAAATGGAGCTACGAGGCTAATGTTACTAACAACACTGGAAGTCAATGGTCACTGAAACATTTTCTTTAAATACGTCCATAAACTTTTTCTCAGCTTGCTCAAACTGCCTCCAGATCTTCAATAAGTTCAGATGGACTTGTCAGTGTTGTTTAGACCAAAGTATGACTTAATGTGAACTAGAAAAATGACCAAAACTTCATTGTGTAGCTGGACACTGTGGAAAAAGCCATTTTTTTACCTTGCTTTTTTAACATGCCCTCACCCACCTTAACTCATCACACCTGATTGAATGGTCACTCAATCGGAATGCACTTCAATGATGTTAGCCTCAGTGAGCTAATCATCTAGCCATGCAAACTTTGCAATGCAAAATGTTTTTTTTTTTGAGAAGTTTGAAAACAACATAGATACAATTTGTGAATCATTGCTTTGTCTGGCTATAAACGTGATGCAGAGCCGCGGTGTAGTGCCTTTCTTTTTGTTGTTGTTAGCCATGTAGGCTTTAGCATGCTAACTAGCAAGCTAGCACAGTAATGAAGTTGTATGTCATGTATAATAAGAGTAATTTGTGGCTAAAGCCCAGCAAATTGAATGCTGTGGTTTTAAAATATTAAGCATTTTGAAGTAGTTTACTGCTATGGCTTATAAACAGCGTTGTCCAGCATTATTTTCAGGTTCGAAAAGGGAACGATTTTTGCGGCTAAGGGCTCATCTAACACACTGCTAAAGTAAAGGTCCTTAAGATGGCGTCAGGGGATTCTTCCGAGTAAAAAATTGGCCAGGCAAAGTGGATGAGGGCTTGTTAAAACTGGTATTAAAAGGGCGGCAGGTGTTATGCTGAATTCCGACTCTCCTTCATGTGCACAACGACATGCAGGCATACAAATGCTAAACATTTCGTTCACGATTATTTCTTTATAAATAGCTGTTAAACCTGAATTTTTTAAGCTGAAGATATATGTTTATAAATAGAAACAGCAGAACTCAAGATTGTAATCTAGTGACCGTACAACACAGTACCTGTTGTCTAAAATTGCTTTAGCTACAGTGAAGTTTTGCTCGTTTTATTGTAATAAACATCCTTAAGCCATATCAGCCAGTCCGCAGTACCTTAATGAAGATCTGAATGCAGTTTGAACTGCTTGTGAGAGGTTTTGGGATGTATTTACAGAAAAGATTGGGGTGACTATTGACTTCTGTTGTTTGTTAGCAACGTTAGCCTCATAACTCCAGTTTAAAACTGTAGAAGCAAAAATTGTCACAACAAACACACCTCGGCCGATCATCTACATCTGGAGATGTATGTGCTGAATTGTGTACGTTTGACTTTTAATCAAACTATTCCTTTAATATCATCAAAGTGTGCTCAGGCAGGTTTAATGCAAGCCCTCTCCAGTGATGCATTGTGGTATATATTTAGCCAAATGCTAATGTAAAAGAACTCTTTTTCCTGTTCAATTGTGTGTCTCATAGTTTTAGAGAATGTTGGGGGGTTGGCAATTACGGGAATGCGCCAAGCAACTTCCAGTTCCCCTCTGTATGTGTGTATGTATGTAAAAAAAATGTAATAACTTATTAATCTTGCAAATGTGGATTTTATTGTTGGATGTCTTTGAACTAGAGGGGTGGGGACGTTAATTGACGAACTACTGACTGGGCAGGTATAAGGTTATCAGCGTTTTGTTTTTTCCTTTCTCTCTTTTCTAGAAATTTTATTTTGTAAGAGCTCAAATGTAACTTGATCACAATGCAAAGGCAGTATTTGGTTTATTACTAATATCAATATCAGCTGTTAAAGGCAGAATATTCTTTCCTCCAGGTTTTGTATGCCTTAACGTGGTACACTTTCTTGAGAAAACTGGAAAGTGGGGTAATCCTGGTGAAGGAACAGCTGGACGGTATGAAGGCTGAGACCTGCTTGAGGGGTTTACTGTGAGGAATTCCTGTACTTTCCTGTTCTGATCTCCATCAGTCAATATGCCAAACTTCTTCCCATCTCTCTCAAAGATTCAGCACCTTGCCCTTTATCAGCGTTTCTGTTTCTGATCTAAGAAACATGCCCTTTGTTGGAAACATGGCTCTTTCAGTTTAAAGCAATCGTTTTTATGCACTTTAAGGTTTTAACTTTCCCACACAGGATCTTGCGCTTTCAGTAAAAAATCGTCTTAGAATCTTGGTGCTCTCAGTAATATAGTTTAGATTCCCAGTGACGGACAACATTCTCCATCTAAACATGCACTATAACCGTGTGGAAAAAGTGATGGAGTCATGGCTTTGGTGTAGTGATGGTTTTAATTTACTTTATTCCAATGTTTCATTTCCACTTAAGCAAAATATATTACATCAGCACAATTTAGGCATTTACTTTTTTACTTTTGGCAATAATTGTGTTTTCATTTATTTTATTCATGTGGAAATGTGCACATTTCAGTCAAGTAACGTCTGCACAATATGAATGCATTGCTTGTTATAAAAAGAGGAATTCCACCAATTTTTCAAAATTTCTCATTAAATTAAGAAGATGTAAACAAAGTCAAGTTGTTTGATGTAAAATGCACCATTCTAGACAACCTTACCGACAGAGAATTTACATGCACTTAATAATCCGATAACTGCAGAAAATCAGATTTTGTCAGAAATCCGTTCAAAGGCGTTTACACATACTTGAGTAATCATATAATGGGAAACTCCGGGTCTACATGAGTCATGCAGTAATCGGATTCCGGCCAATAAACTCAAAGAAGACTTGACGTAAATGTAATATAAACTCAAACTTAATGCTGCGTTTTTTTTAAAACGTTGCGCCACTTTACCTGAAACTATGAACATACATCATCTAGAAGATGAAGAATATTAAAATCCTTTATTTCGTCAAGCATGTAGTTGGTTTCAGCGTCGCTCCAAAAGTGTTTTGCTGTGTTTTGCGGCAACGCTGCTTGCTTATTTCCGGTACTGCCGTCTGTTTCGCGCATGCACAGACTGAGAAATCCAAAAGAAATCAGAGTAAGAGTTTACATGCAGTTAGAAACCTGATTACTGAGCTAATCGGATTTCTAGACCTTACTACGATCTAAGAAATCAGAGTATGCTGTTTACATGACCGTTTGAACAATCAGATAACTGCAGAAATGCGATTATGATCGGATTATTGAGTGCACGTAAACGCGCTCTGTGGTGGTGATAGGAACCAGACGTCTCTAAGAACTACCTTGCAGATATTACATGAAATAGTTATCAACACCCTGCCTGAGACATTGTTTGTAATAGTTTTGATAAGATTTAAGCCTAAAACTGTTGTTTTTCATCACAGAAGAGTATGTACAAGGCCCAAGAAGAAGAACTTTCAGATTTACCACCATTTCATCATCATCAACACTGCATATAAAAACTCAGAAGACACATGTAGGTTCACTGATCATTTTGGATGTGTCATTGTAGACATTGACGTTGACGTCCTCTGGTTCCTTTTACCACTTCTGTAAAGAAATCAGCACCGTGAAGTTTCTCTACAATGAACCATTTCACATCAAACCACTCAGAATGACTTTCATCTCAATGACTTAATGAAGAATTATGAAAAAATGTTGAAAACCTGGTGGAATTCTCCTTCAAAGAATCTCAAGCGAGTTCCTTCATGGACCAAAACAGCACTTGCGTTTTATTACTTTACCTCATTTTTTTGCTTCAGCTTTGTTTTCTACTGTTTGATTTGATCGCTGTATCTTACCATGTAACGCCTTATTCAGTAACAGCAGTGAGGCACATACAGGCTCATAGTTTTAATAGATAAGAAGTGCAGAAATGAGCTTAACTGGCTCTCTCAGTAGAGCAGCACTGTTGTATCACAAACTTTGAAGGAAAAAGGATCTGAAACACACGCATAGCCGAAATCCGTATGCTAAACTCATACTCGCTCACATACACACTATGCATACTGGCCTGTGGTCTGCACAGGAGTTTTAGTTATCAGGACCAAAGGCAGGGGAATGTACGAAAAGAGTCAAACATGCAGACAAAGTGGAGGTAAATGGTCATCTGTGCTCTCTCTGTGTTCCTTTGACCCTGTGAGTGGAATGGGCTGATGATTGAGTGTTGTTCTATGTGAACTGGAGGGATACTGGCAATAAAAATAAAAACTGAACTTGTATCTGTATAAAACAAAGGCTGGAGTTTTTTGAGAGTCTAAAAATCATCACATTTCCCCCTAGGCCCATACCACTTAGCCCTACCCCTCTGTTTTGTGCGTTCATATCTAGGGGTATGGTGTCCCGAATTTGGTTGAAATGGAGGGGATAAAGTGAAGTGTTAGGGCTACATGGCCCTCCAAACTGAGGTTTTTCAGAAAGACACTCCAAACTGAGTTATGAGAGAAAAGAAAAACCAGCTAGGCTGAGCAAGAGACCAAAGAAACGCACAAATGTGAGATTTTTCTCTGTTAAAAATTACAGTAACTATTGTACTATTTCAGTTTAATGTCGTATCAATGTATTATGGTCCTTTTCTTCATAACAAGCATTAAAAATCGCTAGTAGTATGCTGATGTCTCAGTAGCTAGCTAGCTGAATCCGTTCCACCTTAAATGGCGCAGCAGTTGCATTCTGGCGCCTCAGGCATCAGAACTGCTGGACTATTTAAGGTGGAACAGGAAAATTTGAACATAAAGCTGGTGAATATCTGACTTCAGCTTTATATCACTGAAGAATTAGGGGTGGGAGATAATAAATAATTGTCCCCCTCTTTGAAGGCATATGATGCCCTAAACGTAACTAAAGCCCAGCAGTGAGGAGCTGAACTTCACCCTCCTCTGCTATCACTGCAGACTGGCAGGGCCGCCTACAGAGCAGCGCTATCAGCCTGTTAATGAAGTGATGCTCTTTTTATTTGTTCCATTTCGTAGGGGAAGATTTCAACCACTACCCCTTGTAACTCTGTTCCAAGGGGCAGGTAACACTCGAAAATAAGGGGCAGGGGTGAAAAATGGGATTGGGCCTTTGTCTGATTATGAATTCCTATGGCTGATTATGGTTACAGCGAAATGAGCTAGTTGTGGTGCTACGAAGCTAATGTTGCTAACAAACACTAGAATTGAATAGTCACCCAAATAGTCCAAATCATTTGTGTAAATAAACATGCCTAAAATTTCTCTCACCCTGCATTTAGGTCTTCACCACTACTGATGTGGTTTAGAACACAGTATGACTGTGAATATATAATATGAATATATGAATATATAATGAATGTAAAAATGAATGTCACTGTAGCTGAATGCTGTGGGCAGCTATTGCAGACAGCACCAGCACTGGTGATCACAAAGTAGGACTGATCTTGGATCAGATTGATCACTGTGTCCTAAACAGCACACATCAACACGTCTGCTCCACCTTAATGAAGACCTGGATGCAGTTTGAGTGGGTTGAGAGAAGTTTTAGGGATGTATTTTTACAGAAACAATTTGGGCTGTTTGGGTGACTATTGAGTCTTAGTGTCTGTTAGCAATGTTAACCTTGTAGCACCAGTTTAAGACTAAAGAAGCAAAATTTGGGCTACATCTGTGGTAAGTGGAAAAGTGTGATTCTTTTAAGTGAGATTTTTCGTAAAACCATTCCAGTACATTTCCAGTCCTTTCTATTAGTTTTTTTCTATTATTAGTTCTTTCTATTATTCCTGCACATGTATAGCACAGTTTCTGTTTATTTGCTGAGTTTAACATATTGGAAAGATAAAACAAAAAATAAACTGTGCCATAATGTTTGCACAGGCCAGATTTTTTTCTGTAATAAGATAAATTCAGCAAATAAACAGTAATTATCACTTTACATGGCACAGCATTGCAAGTCAAGTCTCAAGTGCATGGATTTAGGTGATGAGATGAAAATAAAAAGTTTTAAGCTCAACAGTTAAAGCACAAAAAATGTAGATTTTAGATTTGTAACGACATTATAAAGCTCAATTAGTCTGTTTTTTGTAGTAAGGAAAAAAATATCATAAATATTTAGCAATTAAGCCAAACATTTCTCATGAGCCACTGCCACACAGTTCTCTCTTCCACACACATCAGACGCTAGAGGGCGCTCACAAGACAATGCAAACTGACAGGGAGATCTATGAGGCCCCTGTGTAGAACTTCAGTTTGTAAATGTTTAGAGGGGAATTCCACTGATTTATTACCACAATTTCTGCATAAATGAATCATTACGGTGTAAACACTGTGATTCAGAGTGAAGAATGTTACCTGTAACAGCTACATCACAGAAAGTTATTACAAGAAGTGGTTGTAAATTCACTGCCTGATGTCAGAAATGTTAAGTTTTGAGAGCAGCGATTGGCCATTCTTAAAAACAATGGCTATTTCAAGGGTTCTTTAGTAAAGAAAATGGTTCTATATAGAACCATAAACACTAAAATAACCATTTGCATGACGTAGTTCTTCAGATTCATGAAGAATGTGTTGGAAATGGTTCTATACAGCACCAAAAAGGGTTCTGCTATTGTTATGATGTCAAGCTTGTAACAGTAGCAGAGTCCTTTTTGGTGCTATAGAAAATCCTTTTTCAAAAAGAACCATATACAACACGTTCTCCCTCAATCTGAAGAACCATTTCACCATGCAAAGAACCATTTAAGCATGCAAATGTTTCTTTAAGTACTTTTGTGGAAGGTTTTTTTTTTTTTAATTCACTAATATTTTACCATGGTCAACATTACATATAAAAACTCAGAAGACGTGCAATTTCAATGGTCATTATAGACAATAAT